CTTCACAGCGAAGGTGGTGCCTTACTCTTGATCAGATTGAGTGACGAGATCAATGATTGAGTGCAGAGATCACTGATTGAGTGCAGAGATCACGTATCCGATGGATTTTGAAATGGTCATATTGTCATAACTCACCAAAATTTAGAACACTTTTCTTATTCCTGTCATCTTTGAAATTGAATTAGAATGTTTTAAACTTAAGATATGCCTGCTGAACTACTTTCGGTGAGTCTTAATGCCTGAAAACAGTAAAAGGGGTATAATAGTATCTGTATAGTATAGTATCTGTATAGTATAGAGGGTAAATAGTAATGTGAGTATAAGGGCTACGATCGTGCTTGCCAGCACTGTGATATACGTTTCAATTCCATTTTTTACTTTCCATACTGATCTTATAATTTAGCTAGAATGTAAGGTAAATGTTAAAACGAATTAGCCCTAGCACTTAGCAACATCCCCGAGGAGTTTATGACACAAAACGCCTGCACGCTTAAAGTTATATTGAAATAACCCCTCGTGCTAAAGCAAGTCAGCGTTATTTTCATATAAACAATCCCTCGTGCTTCGCACTCGTCGCGGGAAATAAAAATGTAATCCTTGTGCGTGTCTGCGTTATGTGTGTTATAGTTATACAGGGTGGCCCAAAAGTTACTACCCACACGCAACCCTTTAATAACTCACGTAATTCTTCTTAGAATTGCACAGAAATTTCAGAGATTATAGATATGGGTCAAACTTAGATTTCCTGAAAGTTTCGGCAAATTTAATCAATTACAGTGGGTGTTGCACGCCCATCCCTCTTTTCTTGTCGTACGTTGTATGACCCGCCGCGCACGAGTGCCCGGCTCCCCCTGTATCGTAGATACTCTACAGGGGTAGAGTTTCACCATAGTGAAACGACCGTGGGGGTCACGACGTGATACAACTCTTTTCCACTATTGTCACCATAAAGTGTATATTGACCTGTTATTCTCGGCACAGTTTTTAGTTTTAAAGAACATCATTATCCTCCAGTCAAGGGTTTAGTTCAGTAATCTGCGTCGAGCAGGCTGCAACCAACAATTCTACCACTTCAATAATTCACGGTATTACGTTGCTTAATACATAAGCCCTAAGACTAAACTGTCAACATGGAGTCTCATGTTAATAAACAGAGTTTATCCTGATTTAATTGGCAGTACTTACCATTACATTCATTTTAGCATATACAGATTTTCTCATGACGTCTCTCAACTTATGTTATGCCAGGACCCAGAACTAACCGGAGTTATTTTAGAGTTGTGCCTCACCTTTGGCTTTAACTCCTGATTTCTGAAAATCTAGATTTACTGCGGACGTTTTTCCCGTTTAAAATTGCTAAAAACTTATTTTTGGTCTAATAATTGTGTTTTCGAGCCACACGCAAAAATTCTCTGCTACTCTCTGTAATTACATAAGTCTTCATAAATCTTAAAGTTAAACATTAGCATTGGGCAACAAGGAAATTACACTATCTGTAATTACATAAGTCTTCATAAATCTTAAAGTTAAACATTAGCATTGGGCTACAAGGAAATGACACTATCTGTAATTACATATGTCTTAATAAATCTTAAAGTTAAACAGTAGCATTGGGCTAAAAGGAAATGACACTATCTGTAATTACATAATTCTTCATAAACTTAAAGTTAAAGTTAAACATTCGCATTGGGCTAGAAGGAAATGACACAAAATGAGTACCTATAAGTATAATAACATATAATAATTCGACGAATCTTGCAAGCTTGCCTCTCCCATTGCACACCTTTCCTGTCTTTACTAACTGGCTCGTTTATAGAATCTTAATGTTCAGATTATTTTCTTTCACTTTAAAAGAGAAATTAAGATTTTGTGACAATAAGCACGTAGAATTGTAGGTATATTATCATTTTTTCATTATCTTTTCTTACGATAATAAGATCAAGAAAAGATAATGAATAAATAATATTAGGTGTGTAGGATTTCAGAAATTTCACAACTCAGATAATCATTGTGCATTAAATTTCTATTCCGTTAACATTGGTTAGCACTTTTTGGCCAGTCCCAATCAACAATCAAAATAACCTTCATAACTGCCAACTGGACCATAGTTAGATATATACCGTTTGGACTGTGGTCTCTGCATATCATAGAGTGACCTGCAATTCTACAGGATCACCCGAACTCTTAAAGGACACAATTATCTTCCATATCAAGGATTTAGTACAATAAGCTGCGTCTTGTAGACTGGGTCGGCAATTCCACCACTTCAATAATTCAAGTTTCTTAGTAAAGCAGCTCTTAAAGTTAACCGTCCGTCAGACAAGGAGTCTTATGTGGATGAGCATAGTTTATCCTAATTTAATGGGTGCTTACCATTAGTTTAGCATATTAGGATTTGTCCCGCTCTGCTCTCCCAATGCCTTGTATCACGTCGTGACCCCCAATGTCGTTTCACTATAGATCCTGTACTTGTAGAGTTTCTACGATACAGGGGGAGCCGCGCACTCAAAATTCAGGGCGAGCTGCGCACTCGTGCGCGGCGGGTCATACAACGTATGACAACCAATGCCCCAGCCCGAAACCAACCACTTTCGGAAAAATCTCCAAGTTGGCAATGCAAATCAGCTCTAAACGGTCAACGTTTGGACAAGGAATCCCATGTGGATGAGCATAGTTTATCCTATTTTAATGGGTGCTTACCATTAGTTTAGCATATTAAAATTTGTCCCTCTCCCAATGTCCGGACACAAACCTGGCCAGAGTTCTCTTGGAGAGTTAGAGTTGTGCCTGACGTTTGGTTTTAACTCCCGCTCTCTGGAAATCTAAATTTATCGCGGACGTTTTCTCTCGGGTAAAATCGATAACAGCTGATTTTGGTAACGAACACTGCAAAGACGCAGCGAGCAGGATGATGCCATTAGGCCCACTGGTCGGCGCCCCTCCTAAAATTGAACAAATTAGGTGATTTTAGAGGATACGCCGGTAGAAAATTTCTAAAAAGTGTGTTTCTAGAGCAAAACGCGCAGTTTTGCTAGTACTTCAGTTAAGTTTTTCAAAATTATCCCACATTCAAACGACAATTTGGCCAAGGATGTTAAGTACGTAGCGTTTCTTATAAACGTACGGCATACGAGCGTATTCGGACAAAATTTAACATCAAACTTTTTTTCTAAAGTTCTAAAGCTGCAAAATGTGCCGTATTTCACGTATGTCTTAGAATTTAGACAAACAGCGTATTTTCGACTGGTTTTTCGGCGTACTTAACATCAATGATTTTTGAGCCCCCCTAAGATGCAAGATGAAATTTGTGATAGAGCCGAACCATTTTTTCTTTTGAATGCACCTTTTTGTTGCCTCTATATCTTACTTATAATTCAGAGAATTATCTTTGTTTGTCGTTTGTACGACCGCCCACGTGAAAATCAGACGAGAAATAGGTAGTTGCGTAGTTACCATGGTAACGAGGATTATTGATCAGTTTTATTGATATTACGCTGTGTTTAGTACGAGAAACATTTTAATTGGCTGTATCTTCAGTTCATGTGTAGGCTATTTTTTGACGCCACTTAAACTTACCAACAAAGAATACTATTAGCTTCATCCCTGTGACCACGGGTTTTCTAGTCATATAATCCATCACAGTGCTGGCAAGCACGACCGTTGCCTTTATTCTTAAGTATAAGTATAACTAACAGCCGTTGTTGCTCATATGTTCTATATTCGGGTTTCTATAAGTATAACTACCAGCCGTTGTTGCTCATTATATTTTATATTCGGGTTTCTGTAAGTATTAATTTTGCTAACTAAGATATTTACTGTTACCTTAATGTTGAAACTTATTCTACATGTATGGCTATACCTTATCAACTTAGCATTTATTTTTGATTTTCACCTCACAATAATGAAATAAAACATTTAATTTGTATACTTCTATTTTAGGAAGACACAAAAATGTCAGCATTTCCAATGATGTTAACCCTGGCTTTAGCATCACTTCTCCACTATAGTAAGTTGAAATTAAAGTCTTATGTTACATTTCAAATAATAAAAAGACCCAAACGTCCAACATAGGTAATTGCAAACCTTGTATCAAGATTATTCGTAAATTGTAGACATAAAACCTGTCTCTCCCTCAGGACCTCTGGCAGTGGGAGCAGAAAACACGCAGATCGATATAAAGAGTTCAGAAGCTAAGAGCCACAATAACAACAGACCGCCCTCTAACGCACATGATGGGAACTACAGTACGTTCTACAGCGTGAAAAATGGCGATACAGCCGGGAACTTTCTGAAACTCTATCTGGACGGTCTATACACCATCTCAACAGTGAACGTAACGACTAGACATACTAATAGATTCATAAATACGGTGGTTATGGTTATAACAACAGATGCTGCAAGGTTAGGGGCTGATAACACAGAGACGGACTGCGGCACTGTGACAGGTAGTTTATAAAACTGAGATTTGGGCTATTAATAGATTTCTGTACTTCATAAACGCTTAACGTGGCGACTGGCGTATGTTAACTGACTAAAAATATACAATGATCTTTCTACATCCAAAATCTATAACTCCATGTATCCACAGCAAATGATTTGCGGACTGGCAACAGCCAAGAGGAGCAGACTTACCCGTTCGACTGTAAAGGTGGTAAAGGCGACACTATCATGATTACGGACAAGGACTCCGGGACAACTGGGCACGGAATTTCAGAAGTGAAGGTCTACGGAACATCTTTTCCGAGTAAGTTAATAATATTAATACAATTTAACAACATTAACGTAGGAGATAACACGCGCACAGGCCACAGCGCGACCACTTTTATCAAAGTAAAGAGCACCACGTGCTCAGCAGACAGTAGGAATATGTTTACTCCTTAACCAAGATATCTAATGGGAGAGGGGTGACTATGGGAACTTCTTGTGTCACGAATACTGGACCCTCCTACTCAAGCACTAAATTAAAAGGGTTAGCTTCAGGTAAAAGTAGTTGAACTTACCTTGTATACAGCACCAGCAACTGTAGCACAGATGTGATCGTGACTCAGAGCAGTTCCGTGAGACTTCATAAAATCCAGATTCTGTGTTATGACGTCACCTGGAGGAAACAAATATTAAAGACCAAATTTAAAATCAATAGAAAAAAAAACAGACGTCTTGAAACATTTATCTTGAAACGCACAATGCCCATATAAGGACCTAACCAGGAATAATACGTGATGCCCATAAATAAGGACCTAACCAGGAATAACACGTGATGCCCATATAAGGACGTAACCAGAAATAACACGTGATGCCCATAAAAGGACCTAACCAGGAGTAACGATGTGTTGCTCCAACTCTTCTCCCTGTGAAGCTATCACTCTAGTCCTCTTGTACGGAGCTCGTATTATCTCCATGTTTACTTAAATCTAGTGAAGTAGAGGGGATTATACAAGAAACCTTTAGAAGAATAAGCGTTTTATTAAACTAATTTAAGTGTAAATAATTTAGTCGAAGGCCAAGACTTGTAATGCTACTTGGGGGTAGTAAGCTCGGTTTAAATTTTGGTCCTTCTTTGTCTTACAACTTATAATCTCAGTTGACAACATGGCTGATGTTTGACTACAATAAACACGTGATGCCCATATGGATGAGCTTGTGTTTGACTACCGGAGAATCAAACGAGTGAACGTTTTAAAAATATGTTCCGTTTTTAATGTTACAAAATACATGATATTACTTCAAACAATTGCCAGGTTATTCAACGAAATTGCATCTGAAATTCAGTCTTCTGAGTTCTGAGGTCAATATTTACAATTAAATAATATCAAATATTTTGGTTTAGAACTCATTAATGATGTCACTCCGGAATAAGTTCATCAAACAATGTGATGCCAACAAAGACATTTAACATTGGTTGATTGGTTCTATTAAGTCAGCGATAATAATTAATATCTTTAGTCAGCAGTATGAACTATGAATTTAATAATTGTTAAAAACAACTTGATAAAATATTTTAAGTCATACTAATAACGAGGCAAACAACTGAAGGCTCAACAAAATACAATTAATTATCAACAACAATTTATAAATTAACGTATAAAATAAAACATCAGTTTTTCTCGTGAGATCGCTGATAGAAGACGAAGGAGACGGCTGTATCCCAGGCTGAGTGTAAAGCAAAGTCCTTTATTTTGTGTTTACTTGTAGTGTGATTCCACTGTGCCACCTGAAATGTACCGTTATTTGTAAGTTAAGTTAAAGCCCATATACCCTGAATATTGGCTTTAATCTTACTGGATATGGTATTATCCATTCACACAAGCCAGATTATTGTTAATTCCCATAATTCTTTTTTTCTGAAGTAAGTGAATAATAATTTAAAGAGCAGTACTACAATAAACACGTGATGCCAATATAAGGGTATATGACTATCCGAGCAGTACTACAATAAACACGTGATGCCCATATAAGGGTATATGACTAACCGAGCAGGTGGTGTCAGCTTCCTCAGGAGGTGCTTTAGTCTGGATATTGTTAATACACCTCTTACATTGCAGTCTGGAGGGAATGGTATTAGAAACATAGAGAGAGTGATATAAAGAGGAATTGATACAAATTAAGACGGAAAAGAACACATAGCTAGTAACTGCATTATACCACTACTGTGTGGCAATGATGAGCGAATAATCAATTGTGTTTTAACATTAACAATTTAGATAAAGGATGTTATCATTGATTCTATTGTTGAACTTTTGCGGAGATATTATAACAACTAACTTATCGTGAGTATCGCTGAGAGTATCTGTCTTGAGGTTGAACAGTTCCCTGAGTTCCGAGAGAGAAAAGTGTCGCTCAACATTCTCTTCACAGTCCACCACCGCACTGCTCAAACTCTGTAACACAAGGTCAGCATTCAACAGCGTGAATTTTCCCCGTTTTTATTTTGTAGTTGACAATTAACATTTATTTAGTTATTTGGTATTTTATTTAATTGTTCATGTAATCGGATGTGGTGTTCACGAAAAAAGTGTCTTAATTGAGTTTCGAGCTGAGATTGCCCTTCAGTTGCGCTATAAATCCAGGAACAACACTGATCGTTAAGCAACGATTAAAGTAACCAAAGTAATTAGTAACCATAGTAACGACCCTAACCTTCTTATGAGTCTGTCTCTGAAATATCTTCTCCTCGATAGTTCCCGTAGTCAGCAGTCTGTATATAAATACAGGTTTCTTCTGTCCGTCCCTCCAGACCCGTGCCATAGCCTGCTCATCATTGGCTGGGTTCCAGTCAGGGTCAAACATCACCAGTCTGTTAGCTCCTGTTAGTTATATAATTAGTCTAACATCACCAGTCTGTTAGCTCCTGTTAGTTATATAATTAGTCAAACATCACCAGTCTGTTAGCTCCTGTTAGTTATATAATTAGTCAAACATCACCAGTCTGTTAGCTCCTGTTAGTTATATAATTAGTCAAACATCACCAGTCTGTTAGCTCCTGTTAGTTATATAATTAGTCAAACATCACCAGTCTGTTAGCTCCTGTGTTTTGGTTAAAATCAGATTTATTCTACTTGCTGTTATCATATAACTGTAGATTAGGCAGTAGTAGGGTTTACTACTTACAGAATTAAATTCTGGCTTGTTTAGTCCTTCACAGCGAAGGTGGTTCAATCAATTATTTATTAGGTTTATATTGTGTTTTGCCACAGTATGTAGAATTCTATTCTATACCTATCAGGTCCAACCCACACGTAACCTAGTAACCTAGTAACCTAGTTACCTAGTAGCCTAGTAGCCTAGCAACCTAGTAACATAGTAACCTAGTTACCTAGTAACATAGTACATAGTAACCTAGTAACCTAGTAACCTAGTAACCTAGTAACCTAGTAACATAGTAACATAGTAACCTAGTAAACCAGTAACCTAGTAGCCTAGTAACCATAATAACTTAGTAACCATACCTATTAGGTTGAGACCACACCCTCCTGCTTTGCTGCTCAACATGAACAGGAAGTCCTTACTGTCAGGGTCATTGAACTTGTCTACTATCTTCATACGCTTCTTAGCGGTCATTGAGCCGTCCAGACGTACAAACTGGTACCTGTAGGAGTGTGTAATATTAAGAGGTGGATGAAGTGTTATTGTAGATCTCACAATATTATAAATATATCAATAAAGTGTTATATAGCGTTGGAACAGAGTCAATATATTTAATGTTGCCATAGGATGAAAAGTCCCCATTCATCGCAGCCCGCTAGTTTCACTGCCTTCTAATACTGAAGAGCCATAATATTAAACGTGTAGTGAGGGATAATTTAGTAAACATAGTAGCGTACCCTCGGAGACGAGCCAGATGTTCGAACACGTCCAGAGTTTGGGTATAGTTGGAGACCAGGACAAACCTATCATCAGTCCGGGACTTGGTGGACGCTAAAATACAGTCCAGCACTGCCAGCTTACCTGAAATAAGGACGTTAAAATACAGTCCAGCACTGCCAGCTTACCTGAAATTAGGACGTTACAATACAGTCCAGCACAGTTTTGAGTTGCTCCCGTTGTTTTACTCGCCGTACAGTCTCTCAATCCTCCAAAGACCAAGAGCCGCGGTAGTGATGTTATAAAACAGTATAAACAATATAAACAACATGTCATGTTCACATCTCAGTAATACTGAACAAAAACTTAATGTCATTTGTCGCATAGTTGTTTGAGGTTGAATCTCTCAATATAAACAAGAAACTAAAACCGACAAATAATAGGACTGATATAGAAATAACTCATCGGTCTATTCACCTTCTCTCAATATATAAAATGATAAAATATTAACGTTCTGTTCAACTTCAAAGGAGTGTTCCTCTATCACTGGAGACAGCAACAGTTGACTCCCACCAACAGGTGCCCCATTAACTGTTACTTCAAAGACATTACAGAGGAACACAATGGGGAAGCTAGTCCAGAAACTGGGGTCACGTTGAAGAATGACAGAGTGAGTAAATAGAAACCACCTGCTTAGTGCTTACAACAAACCACCCCGTACGATAAAGTAGACGTCTCTAAGTTAACATCCCCAAACAGTTACCTTTCATTTCTACTATATACTGCGATCAGTAATCTCTCATTTCGTCTATATAAATTGCAATCAGTAACCTCTCATTTCTACTATACTGCAATAATGTTGCCGCTCAGTTTGCTACTCGTACTACTACCACTAGTGTCAGGGGATCTACAAGATCTACCAGTGTGGCCTAAACAGTTCAGATGGTCCTACTCTGGTGTCCCTGCTGGTTACAGCTGTGTTAAGATAACAGAACCCTCCGATCCGGATACCTGGGAGGACAACTACTTCTGCTGGGAGAAACACTGTGCCAACCCAGGTAGAGTCCAATACTGATTAACTACGGAGTTTGGGAGAAAGGAAACAGCTGTATTACCGAAATATTCACTTAATGATTTCCTGTCTTTCAACTTTATCTACCTTACCTTGGAAGTTCTTTTCGCCTGCTTTATTTTCTGTAATACTTCAAATAAACCCTTCATTTTGAATGAAATGTTCCCTGACTTTATCTGCCTTACCTTGGAAGTTCCTGTCAATTTCCTTAATTTTAACCCTTCATTTTACATCAGGTTTCCAGTGGAGCTACTCCGGGAAGATAAGCGGAATGCGCTGCACCCAAATAGTGGAACCCTCAGATCCCCACACGTGGGCGGACAACTACCTGTGTGTACCTAGCAACACTAACTATCACTTCACCTGGGCTCACAGTGGGGGTATGATGCAGAGTGGGAGCAGTTGTGTGCAGTGGCTGGAACCTAGTGATAAGCATACTTGGGAGGATAACTACCTGTGTGGTAATACAGGGGCTGGACCGAGTTATGATGATATATCCGAGTAATGACGGGGCCTACTTAGTAACCATAGTAACGACCCTAAAATTTACTGTCCTACTTAGTACTTATTAGACTTGCTAGTTTAACATTTAGGATTTTTGCTGGGAAATGGTTCATTCTTTCACTTGTTTCTCTGATCGATATTACGGTTATCTCATACGTTCATTGGGACAATAACGCAGTAACATTTTTGATTTTTAAATAAAATAATATCGAAATCTAATGAAAATGCAAAACTACATAAGTCTTTATCGATAGATTACGACCAACCTCAGTACAGTAGTGAACGTGAAGTCAGGTATAGTGGTCAGAAAATGATAAGAGAGAAATGAACGATGAAAAATAAATACATCAACAAACAAACAAACATACAAACAGCAGCACAAACCAGATAGTATAGGTTGGAGTTTTCTGATGGTACAGTTTCCAAGGTGATCCAGAGCATCTTCCCACCCGGGAGCCCGTTCTTCGGCCTTCTCTCTGATTAGCGCTGGGTCTGGGGTTTATAGTAGTTATAGTAGAGTCAAACTATGTGAAATAATTCATTGAGTAGTCGAAATAAAATCGGTTAGTAGGCTAAATCTAAATGAAGTGAATTGACTTGGTAAGAATGATAAACCAACTTTTCAAACTTAGGTGAAAAGTTATCAACATCTACATTCTCAACAATGGACCCAACAACTACTAGTACAAGTGCTAACTCACAGTGCTAAGTGCTAAGTGCTAAGTGCTAAGTGCTAAGTGCTAAGTGCTGAGTGCTAAGTGCTAAGTGCTAAGTGCTAAGTGCTTAGTGCTAAGTGCTAAGTACTAAGTGTTAAGTGCTAAGTGCTAAGTGCTGAGTGCTAAGTGATAAGTGCTAATTGCTGAGTGATAAGTACTAAGTGCTAAGTGCAAAGTGCAAAGTGCAAAGTGCAAAGTGCTAAGTGCTAAGTGCTAAGTACTAAGTGCTAAGTGCTAAGTGCTAAGTGCTAAGTGCTGAGTGCTAAGTGCTAAGTGCTAAGTGCTAAGTGCTAAGTACTGAGTGTTAAGTGCTAAGTGCTAAGTGCTAAGTGCTAAGTGCTAAGTGCTAATTGCTGAGTGATAAGTACTAAGTGCTAAGTGCAAAGTGCAAAGTGCAAAGTGCAAAGTGCAAAGTGCTAAGGGCTAAGTGCTAAGTGCTAAGTACTAAGTACTGAGTGTTAAGTGCTAAGTGCTAAGTGCTAAGTGCTAAGTGCTAATTGCTGAGTGATAAGTACTAAGTGCTAAGTGCAAAGTGCAAAGTGCAAAGTGCTAAGTGCTAAGTGCTAACTCACAGTTACAAAGCTTCTTGAGATTAGTGATAGAAGAGAGAGCCCCAACTGCTGCCTTCTTGTTATCAGCCAGAGCTGCTCGAGTAGTTTTAGAGTTAACAAAGGATGTGTAGATAGCTGATTGTAGGGGAGAGGGCCGACAGCATACTACTTGTTCTATTTTTATTGGGAGGTACTTTGATAGGATAGCTGCTGTTCTTCTGATGATACACCTGTGTGGATATATGATATTGTTGATATAGTAAATTAAACATGAATATCTCTCTAACATTCTGTGAAAATTATGGTTTTTGTAAAACAGAAAATGGGCCTTCGTGCAGTATTACCTGGTTTCGTCAATTACTGGTACAAGGACGGTATCCCCCCAGCAAGTACTAAGTCTGGCTTTTATTTACATAAAATATTGACAGTACACAGTATCATTGTAAAGAACGCACTCATTTTAATGCATAAATTGAAAAACTTTCCTAATCTAGTACCATTGTCTCTCAAGAAAACAATTCCCAAAAGCGCACCATTATTTAATACTAACACGGATTCTATCCTCACTACACAATGGTCAGAAAAGTATGGTCAACACCCCTACAACAACTCAGTATTTTTTAAAGGTCCATTATTAGCAATAAACCGATATAATGTTGCAGCAACTTCCCCGCCTAGTCTATTTAACCTGAACATTTACAAAACTTGTATAAAAACTATGCTCATCGATCAGCAAAATGAAAACATCGAAGACGAATGGCCTAATTTCATGTTATTTTGTATAACAGGACTAAGAAAATCAAAGCGTAACATAAACCAAAATGCCGATAATAACCTTGTCTCTACATCTTAGATTATATGCACACACTTGCATCACTCAATAAACGTCGCATATCTCATCATTTACACTGCCAACATTGGACATTCTTTTTTATCGCCGCGTATTTCAAATCAAGTTACAAATTCTACAAATTTTGAAGTGCTCAGTCTTGTTTTACTGTTTTTAATCTTTACCTATTAACCATTAGAAAATTAAACTTTAAGTTATAAACCTTCATTGCATACTTTACCGGTAGAGTCTAAATTGAATAGTTTGAGATTTCCTTAACATTTTATATTTATGCATGTGCCCCACGGGGATGATTTTCTTATTACCATTGATATTATATATATTTTTTGAGTAAACATTGGCTGGTACCACGGGCCAGTCCCCAACAACAAAAAATGGTCCCATTTATTTTGTTCCTGACTTAAAAACATTTTTTTTTTTAAATTTTCATATTTACTACATAAATATGAAAATTTGAAAAATAACGAAGTTGAAGACGTTTAAAAAAGACCGATCATAATAATCTCAGAATAATAACCTGTTTACTAGAGCGAGCAGCTCTTTCAGCATCGCCTCCCCCCTCTCCTTTTCCTTGTCAGACGCAAACGAGTCACGTGACTTTAAGATGGGGTTCTCGAACTTCCTCCTGAAGTCTGCTATAGACCCCAACATTCCTTCGTTGACAAAGTGCACTAGACTGAAGTACTCAAGCAGGTCGTTCTGTATAGGGGTGCCGGAGAGGAGGACTCTACGTTTGCAGTTCAGCTTGTTCAGAGCTACGTAGGTTTGGGAGTCACAGTTCTTTAGACGGTGCCCTTCGTCACAGATTATCAGACCGATTGGACCTGAAGTTGGGAGAAGTAAATAATAAAGTTGGTTCGGACAACTTAATTACATGTATGGTACTAGGAAGTTGTACAGGTACGTAAGGAGTGCGTTTACCTTTGAGCAGGGCAGTGATGTGAAGTCTGAGAGTCTCATAAGACAGGATCAGTATCGGATACACAACTCTCCGAGAGGTGACAAAGTTAGCCAAGTCATCATCTATCTTCTGTTTGGAACCGGAGTCAATGGCGAGGGGGGTGATGCGCCCTTTCAGCCATTTGTAGTACTCGTTATACCAATTCTGTAATTATATCAGACTATTAACAACTCAAATGTAAGTATTGGAATTTTGAACTTAAAATTCGTGCTAAGTATGCTATGATTGATATGCTATGATATCTATTAACAATGATTTTACAAAGAATAACGTACCTTTACAAGAGAGGAAGGACACACAATAACAACCCTATCAATAACAGGTTTACATTCCGGTCCCTGTTTCAAGAGAGTCCACGAGAGGGCGACACACTGCAGTGTCTTACCCAGTCCCATCTCATCAGCCATTATACAACCGTAATTATCAGGTGCTGTAATACCGGTCACACAGCGGTACATAAACCGTACTCCCTGGGTTAAACAGTTTCATGGACTAAAAGCCTACCCTGGTGAGCAAGTCTGAAATATCTATCTGAGAAACAAAATTAAAAATAGCAGAGTGGTTTATAACCAACCTCCCGTTGATGAGGTCTCAGAATGTCTCCCAAAATCGGATCTACAACAACATGGACCTCGTCTTTAGCATCTTCTGGAGGTTTGTAGAGGACTAGAGCATTTGGGGCATCAGGGTCGTGCAAAGAGACCTTCACGCCAGCCTTACGGAGCCCTAGAGATTTGCGGTACCCGCCTAAAAAGCAAGCATGTGATATTAATGTTTCAAATCTTCAAATGAAGGATATAAATGGTTGTGCGCGCTTTTGACATTGACTAACGTCACGCAACTTTGTCTCTGCGCGTTACAAAAACAACAAATTCATGGCAAACTTTCACGTGTCGCACACGTTACACAAAATAAGCAAGTCTTGTTCCTCGACTTACTTGCAACGTAGTTTGGTATTGGGATTTGAAATGGCTTTGAAAGCAGATTCTTGATAAGGTCCTCCTGAAGATGTTTTAAAGTAGATGGTTATCGTATCAGGGATATTGAGAACACTAACTATAAAATCAAGAACGGCAAGCGGCAGTGTTAATTCAGTAACCGCAACAGAATAATAATTAATATGTGAATACAAAATATGTGAATACAGAATACACAACTTACATGAGCAGAGTAAGATTCATTATTCTCTTTGTCCTCCAGAAACTCTCCTTTACACCTCTGGAGACAATAATGATGTTGAATATTGTTGAAACCTCCAGCCTTAAATTATTGGATACCTCTGTAACCTAATTATTAGGATACTGGAATGACTCTACCACAGCGGGCTACAGTGTAAAGAAAGTATTTAATATCCTAGTTGTAACCTTGTAGACTTGAGATGAACATATTGTGTCGCTGTTGTTCCTCTTTACTGATTGGCTCGGCGCCAGACTCCGCCGCTAGTGAAGTAATATATATATAACAACATGTTAACAAACTTAAATAACAAAACAATATCCTGAGCAAAGACTGCAGTGTTTCTATTGAAATAAAAGATCTCAAATCTCATGTTAACAAACTTAAATAACAAAACGATAAAGTGAGTAGATAATTTCTCTATATTATATCTAAATACGGGATCTAAAATCTGAAGGAATAGGAAGAAGAAGTTAGAAGAGACCACGTAAACAAACTTACCATAACTTAAGAAGATAACAGCCGGTACTACATGACTGGATCTCTTTCAGCTCCCACTTCAGTTCTATTAGACTTGTTAGATTTACATCAGTTCATGGGCTATTCTGTGGAGGATAACTTTGTTAATCTGAACACTGAGTAGGGAAATCATGGAGGACATATAATACTTGAAACCGATGATTGTTTGAATTGAATAAAAGGGTTTTGTGTTCTAAGTAATAACAGAGTTCGAATATAAGGGTTAATTTCTGCTTCTTTACAGTCTGAACGGAGAAATCAAACAAGTGGATATAAAAATCAAATCTGTCAATCTATAAAACATCAAATAAGTATAAACTGAAATCAAGGACCATAAAACATTAATAAGTTAATCTATTTGCGTTTTAACATTCATAAATCATAAAGATATAAATGTAATTCATTTTATAATTGAAGCTTTGAAAAATCAAAACTCTGAGCAAAGTAGCCATTTCAAAACCCAATCACTACTAACGATCAAGACATTAAGCACAATCTCCAACTCTAAAAACCATAGGTCACTATCTCCGGAGGTATCTAACAGATACACTCAATCAAGATCATCAATTTTAACTTTACCCGTCATCATCCCATGAACAACATTCCACCAGGCTAGTGTCCCCAGGGAGGAACCCCCGTCCACAACTAGTGAGTGTCCGGTAATGTAGGGGGCAGTTAACATAAACACTACCGCTACTGCTACATCTTCTGGGGTTCCTAGCCGTCCTTGTGGTACCTGCAGAGTGGGGTTTAGTTACCAGGCACGTTACCATGGCAACAGGGGGGTTAGCATGGCAACACGGGGGTTACCATGGTAACACGGGGGTTTACCATGGCAACACGGGGGTTTACAATGGTAACACGGGGTTAGCATGGTAACAGGGGGGTTAGCATGGTAATAGGGGGGTTAGCATGGTAACAGGGGGGTTAGCATGGTAACAGGGGGGTTAGCATGGTAACAGGGGGGTTAGCATGGTAACAGGGGGGTAAGCATGGTAACAGGGGGGTTACCATGGTAACACGGGGGGTTAGCGGATCATTGAACTCATTGATCACGTGACATGTCACACATTTTGCATGTAAGATAATTGTTCTCTGATAAGAAAACATCCAGATGTTACAATTTTCTATTTTTCACCTGTTTCATAGCCTCTTTAAACATCTTGGGACCGAAAGGACCGTAGTTCTGAACTGCGGTATCAGAGTATATAATCCCGGGTATCACATTATTTACACTGATCCCATACTCGCCTGATGAAATGGTGGGAAGAGTTTTTAAGTTTGAGGAGGAAACCAAGAAAATAAGAAATTTTACAGTTCCAGGGAAAAAAACGATGAAAATATCACACAGAAGACAGATCATCAGTTAAAACAGAAATTTCTAAATCTCCAAACCGCCTGACTAGCGACTACTACCACCCCAACTAACCCCATTCAACAGCAAGTGTTTTAGCTAGAGCCTCTACTCCAGCTCTTGCAGAAACACTATGAGCAAACCCCGGCCAGCCCCCGTGTAGTTCCATCAGGATGTTAACAATAGATCCTCCGTTCTCTTTCATACACTGTTTAAATACGGACTGAGTGAGGAAGAAGGTACCCCGGAGGTTCGTGTTTACAACTGAAATTAAAATGAGTTAGCTCAAAATAATAACACCCTAGTAACACCCTAGTAACACCCTAGTAACACCCTAGTAACACCATAGTAACACCCTAGTAACACCCTAGTAATACGGACTGAGTGAGGAAGAAGGTACCCCGGAGGTTCGTGTTTACAACTGAAATTAAGAGGAGTTAGCTCAAAATAATAACACCCTAGTAACACCCTAGTAACACCATAGTAACACCCTAGCAACACCATAGTAACACCCTAGTAACACCCTAGTAATACGGACTGGGTGAGGAAGAAGGTACCCCGGAGGTTCGTGTTTACAACTGAAATTAAGAGAGTAGCTCACAGTAAGTCACTCTCACAATAGATTTGTCTTACAGATGAACAAGGAAGGTAAACAACAAACATTTAATCAGTCAAGGTATCTAAAACCTATCGCGAGAATACAACAATCACCAATATAAAACTGGATTCACACTAAGACAATAACGCTGTTTTCAGTTAAACCGAACACCATTCCCTCTCACCTGCATCCCAGCCGTTAGGAGAGATCATCTCAGCAGGCATTACAAACTGTCCTCCTCCGTTATTAACCAGATAGTCCACATTACCGTGAGATGTGATAAAGGAGTCTAACATTGCCTCTATCTGCTCATTCTTCCTAATGTCACATTGGTATGGGATCACTCTTCCTTCACTCTCCTGTTGTGAGTGATAAAATGAGGTTTTCTATAGCTGATATTCAGAAATGTCTGAGCTACTAACTATTTTTTGACATATAAACATATAATCATATAATCACATAATCACCAAATGATCAGTTACCATCGTTTAAATTAACTTTAACAATCTGAACATATAAATTCTAAACAGGGAGTCAGGGTATTTAAACCTTCTTACCTTGTACTTCTCGTTAAATTCCTGTGCAGCTGTTTCTACTTTCTGAAGTGACCGGGAGGCTATAGCAACTTTACAGCCTTTCTGTACTAACAGTTCCGTGATACCTTTACCAATACCTGCAACAGAAAATATTATACAGTGCTTAAGAAATAATATGTTCAACTAAAACAGACGTTATTCATACTGAATAGTAGAAATAAAAGAAATTCTAAAATTAATTACAGCTGCAGAATCTAACAAAAGATAGAAATGAAGTGATAGAGTCAGAGAGATAAAACGTTAAATGTTATCAAATAAAAAATAACTTAATTACCTGTACCACCTCCAGTCACAATAGCAGTTTTACCAACTAATGAAGAAAGTAACATGTTGCTCGGTTTTACTTCACCTTTACTTTAACGTTACTAGGAACAGGCAGATCTATTAGCTTTTGGCACATATTATTATGATATTAAGTGAGATTGCAGAGTTCGGTATTGGCGATCATGATGTGTGTTTAATGTCATGAACTGGTGAGTAAAGTGATAGTAAAGATTTGGAGTCAATAATTTTTGATATAATCTTTAGACATGTTGTTTTTGTAATGTTATAATTTTTAGTACGCACGGAAAAAAACGAGGATTGTAAATCTGAGCATAATTTAGTAAACCAAAAACTCAAATAATAAAAAACTGCATAAATCAATAAATTAAACTCAGAATGTCCGGACTACAACGTTAGGAAAGTCCTCAATTAGACCCTCTCAACTCCAGGCCTGGAGACGACCCCCATCTAGAGACCGTATCTCGTTAACAAGTAACACAGCTGCTGCTACATCGGCACTTTGTCTGGCCTTGTCTATTGTGTGTCCCCACTCTACCTCGCCCCACCTGACAGGGAGATGGTCGGAGTTACAATTGTGTGAAGAGGAGAGGGGGGAGAGGGGCATGATTGTTTTGTGATTGATAAAACTGACTGATTATGAAGTTAAATCAGCTGATGGAAAGTTGAAGAGATTTAAAAGTTGAACCAACTTAAGAAGTTAAATAACTCCACTTCAAAACAGTGAAATATAACTCACCGATCCATCTGATAATCGCTCTCCAGATAAGCACAAGCAATAGCCTCCTCAGCACTGAGTCCCCCGTCCAACATAGCCATAGAAATGACCAGGCTCTTAAGAGAAGTAGTAGAGTGGTGGTAAGCAGGCAGGGTCCAGGGGTGTTGTTTAAGGAGGTGGGAGCGGATAGTGGAGATAGTCTGCTCAGGTTGTGGGGTCAGCATGATATCTGTTGTTAGCGCTAGGTGCACGTGGTAGTGCTCTGAGAACCAGTCTGTTAGGGGGTTCCATCTGGGGTAAAATAGTCTGTTAGGGGGTTCCATCTGGGGTAAAATAGTTTGTTAGGGGGTTCCATCTGGGGCAAAATAGTTTGTTAGGGGGTTCCATCTGGGGTAAAATAGTTTGTTAGGGGGTTCCATCTGGGGCAAAATAGTTTGTTAGGGGGTTCCATCTGGGGCAAAATAGTTTGTTAGGGGGTTCCATCTGGGGCAAAATAGTTTGTTAGAGGGTTCCATCTGGGGCAAAATAGTTTGTTAGGGGGTTGTATCTGGGGCAAAATAGTTTATTAGGGGGTTCCATCTGGGGTAAAATAGTTTGTTAGGGGGTTCCATCTGGGGTAAAATAGTTTGTTAGGGGGTTCCATCTGGGGTAAAATAGTTTGTTAGGGGGTTCCATCTGGGGTAAAATAGTTTGTTAGGGGGTTCCATCTGGGGTAAAGGTTTACTTTAAGAGGCAATTGAACATTGAAGACAGATAATCATTGCACTAGTTTAGGATTGCACAGTTAATAGATCTCTTTTTAGTAATCTTATTCATTTTTAATGATTAACAGAAAAATACTATACAGTTTCCCGAATCTATCAGGAGAGTGATAATATAACTTGTATCTAAAAGAGTAATAGTACGTATAATATATAAGTTGTCTCTAAAATAGTACTTATATTTAATTTGTATCTGATAGAGTACCTGCTCTTCTCCAGACTGTGAAGTTGCTGGTCCTCCTTAGGACCAGCCCTGTAACATACTGTATCAGTTCTCAGGAACTCTGTCATGTGCTCCACTAAAGCCGCTCCTTCATGGGGCTTATCTGTTGCTTTAAAACATAGTGTTGTCAGGGGCATCAGGGCAAAGATAATGCTATCTCTTTGCAAGTCCCATTCAACTGCTACAGCGTTAGCTAGTGCCTCCGTGGGGAGGACTAACAGGTTCCTGAGGGGAGTTTTAACGTTGGACTTGTTGTCAAGGGTTACCTGGTAACCTGCATCTGTTGTTATGACATCCACTTCTTTGTAGAACTTGTTGTTGTCTTTGGAGAAGGTGGCAAGGGAGCGGAGGGAGGGAGAGCAGTTGCGGATTATTCTTGATAGTAGCATTCTGCTTAACAAATTCTAAGTCATACTCTGGAGGGTTTTTAGTTAGGAAATAGGACTACATAATATCACATTGTTTCAAATATTTATGGATTTGTTCTATTACATTGAATAATGGGTCAACACACTTTCAGACTTTCGTGACTTCATAAAGGCATAAGTTTTTACAGCCAGGTGCACTTGGCTATTCGAGAAACAGTGAAAAACATTTTAAAAATACAAATCATATATAATCTTCTTAATACAATATTATGTCGAAAATAATAAATTCCAGTAATATACATGCCATAATTATACAAGTATACAAATTTTAAAGCAAACAAAAGTGAACTATAATTATTAATGAAATAATGTCAGTTAAAAATAAAACTCTAAGTCAAAATTAAAGGTTGCATACAATAACCACAAACCAAAGGTGGCAAAAAGCCAGAATTTTCGGAACTTCAGAAGAAATATACAGCATTCCTCCAGTTAAGTTGTTTAGCAAGATGCAAAAGTACATTTTGCATTCTTTGTTTAAGTTTGTTTGATAACGTTTCCGTTTTTAGATGTTTCCATGTATATACCAATTACAGCTACCACACATAGGGCCAGGAAGGAGAATATCATGATTTTATCAATTTTATCTATTAGGTAAAACAAGCTTCTAAACAATCCCTTGATAAGCAAAACTAAGTTCCTGAAAAATCTCTTAATAGCATCTTCACCAAGGGTTTCAAAGTTTCGTCTTTGAGCCTCTTTTGTAGCTTCACTTCCAGAAGATTTTAGTTTTTGGTGCACCAAAGCTGTCTCACGTGGCCCAGTAATAATAGTGTCCGGTGGAACAGGGGAGGTGGAGACAGGTTTGTTTGACGTCTCAATCTTCCTGCGACGAGAACGTCCGTAGTAGTCAGTTAAGATGGACTGCTGTGCTGGAATGATATGTTCAGCCAACATGTCAAGGCATGTTTGCCTAATCTCCTTTTGGTGGTAGGGTTTTTCAATAACCGATCTCCAAGTTACGTCACTTGAACTTTCAGAGAGACAATCAAGATTGTAATCCGAGTCTCTCAAACTACGGTGTCTTTCTTCATCTAATCCAAGAAAAACATCTAGCGAGGCAGCTCCATCTGCTGCAGCGTAAGTCTTCATTTCCTGGGAGAGCTGAAATATCTCCCAATCAACTTGTAATTCAGATTGCTTAACCAGGCGTCGATGCAGAATATCTTCAACCAACTGTTGAAGGCTTAACTTTGGCATGAACCCACTGCGCTTAACTTTTAACTCAGGTTCAGAGAGAGCAGCTTCCTCCAAACAATATTCAAAGTATTGTAGTTGTTGGATTAGTAATGGGGAGAAGGATTCTTTGCCAACAGCAAGGCACCTCAGATCCAACCAGCTTTTAACAGATATTTGAAACTGACGACGGATTCTCACTACCACCTCCTCAATATCAACACCAACCTTCACAACACCTTCATTCAGGAGAATGGAAGACAACTGATCAGGAAGCCAATATTCAGTTTCAAATCTGCGCACTTGGAACAGGATGACATGTTCTGCTGTTGCTATTTGGATCACGGCTACATCGTAGACACCTTTAGTCTCCCATTTACAATCTAGTCCTATCACAGAGTGCTCTCCATCGATGACGTACCATTGTAGGGCTAGGTTAGCCTCTTTGTCGTTCCTGGGGATTATTATAGTCCGAGTCTCTTCAATGTGGTACTCCTCTAATGTCATTCCTGGAAAGAGGAGATTTGTTCATCGTATTTTACTGAATTTGAATTTGATATATGGACACGTTCATTTGAGTTTGAGGATATTGGTAAATATAAGTGACCCTATTAAAAGGCACAGTGTAGTTGACTTTGTCACACTATGAAATTACATAAACCCTTGATGGTTAGGATAATCGTCTCATCCTTCAGGCTAACTTTGTCACATAACGATATCTTAATCAGGTGATAAGATATCGCTTAAATACGGCCGGCACGGAAATGGTTACATTGTCACACTATAAACATGTGACGGAGTAAATATGGACCCCTTGCCGCCGTTTATGACCAAATTTTTGGGTGTCCAGTTGATTGGATGGGTACATATGACCATTACCTACATATTTGACGAGTTTTTTCGTTAGATGGTGCACTCAGGTTTACTCTGTCACACATTAAAGAAAATATGTGATGAATGTTTAGGGCACCCTCATAAAGTCATAAGCAATGCTGAGTAATGTAGGTTTATTTGATGGCCTGGAAGTGCTGGGAATTGTTATTATATCATATTGTCGTAAAGAATTAAAACACAGAAGGCACAACCAAGTTTACTTTGTCACATAATCTTTATGATATCTGAACATGTGTGAAATTGAACAAATAATGATATACCAGCTTAAACCCCTTATATTGCGTACTATCGATCAAACAACACTGCTAGTACCATGCACCAGTCACATAAATCATTATCAGGTGGTAATATGTACAGTGTCACAATTAAACTACCGCAACATGGTCAAAAATAGGGTAATTTCGTCACAACAAAATTATTATAACTCTGTTACTCTGTTAGCTCCTTGGTGGCAAAATAACTAGTTTATCGAAATTTTTTTGATGATAAAGTTACATAGTATTCTAATAGAGGTATAGATCTTCAAAATAGGGTCAAGACATGTTTACTTTGTCACATTAGTTATTATAAGAGTTAGGTAATCGTCATCAGATTAACAGATCTTTTTCGTAGTTTGGATCGATTAATATCGGCAATAAAGCATCATATGCCAATTTTAACACACTATCTTGATATTGTTGGGGCAGGGAAAGTTAATTTTGTCACATTTTCAGTTTCTTTGACAATTTAATCTAAAATTGTTAAAATTGAGCTCTGATGTTCTGGACAATATTCTTCCAATCGTTTTTGAAAGAATGTTGAATTCTAATGGAGTTATAGATCTTCAAAATAGGGGCAAGACATGTTCACTTTGTCACATCAGTTATTATAAGAGTTAGGTAATCGTCATCACATTAACATATATTTTTTTGTAGTTTGGATTGATCTATATAGATAATAAAGCAGCCTATGCTAATTTTTACACTATCTTGAAATTGTTAGGGCAGGAAAAGTTAATTTTGACACATTTTTAGTGACTTTGACGAATTTAACCTAAAATTGTCAAACTTAAGCTCTGATATTCTGGACAATATTCTACCAATTTTTTCTGAAAGAATGTTGAATTCTAATAGAGTTATAGAATATAGATCTTCAAAATAGGGGCAAGACATGTTTACTTTGTCACATCAGTTATTATAAGAGTTATTATAAGAGACTGTTTTATTCTATATTCATTGTTTTTTTAACTTATTTACGATTTCGTATCAATTTTGTGACAATGTAAACATCAACTGATCTTAACTTGCATAAACTACATTGTCATCATATAAAGTTTTCCCGCCTTTCAAACCAAAATCAGATATAAATAATTCGCAAAAAATGTAAAATTCCATATATTGTGACAGAATTAACCTCATTTTCCAATAACCAAGTGCCTATATTAGCTAACTATTCAAAACAACATATTTTAGGGCTATGATTGGTAGATCAACCATCAGATAATGAGTTTAAAGGGTTTTTAGGACACCTCACAGTAGAATAGAGGTATATTATTCTGAGTGTGACAAAGTTACCCAAATATTGCCTTGTAACCGTTCGATCCGTGCCCTTTAACCAATGTTGTATCATAATTGTTAAATTGACCTAATCTACTATATTTTAGACCAAGGAATGATAATTAGACAACTGCAGTTAAATAAGTCACACAAAATGTGACATTTGAAGCATTATAGTACCTAACAACAATAGATTTTCTTTCTGAGCAGTGCATATGGGAGTATGGGTTACGTGGCTAATGTTCAGAACTTCTGAACGTGCTAGGTTAATAGATGTCAAAATTAAGCCACTATCGTCGAAAACGCTATTATTTTTGTTTACCAATATCCTCAAACTCAAATGAACGTGTCCATATACAATACACATAATATTATGAAAGCTATTGGTTCCCGTGGTTAGACTGGCACTAGAAAGTGACCAATTAGTGACCAATTAGCTAATTAGTGACCAATTAGCTTGAGCTACAACCAATTATATAAATCACTATTCTTTCTGACAAAGAGCAATTTGAAATTGTACCACAATTTTTTACTTGAAAATCTATTAGATAATTTCAAATTTTATAGTACGAAAATATAATAAATATCATTTTATCAACTCAGCTGATGGCAAATTAAAAACATTGACCAATCAGCTCCCAGGAACAACCACTCAAATAAAATACATTTTTTGACAAACGCCATTTAAATTTTAGCCCAACAAAATAATTATATAGTATATTTTGAATTTTAACTCAACTTATGGCACATTTAAAGGACAGCACTGAAGTTTCTCGTAGGTTTATTAAGCAATCATATTATACTATATTAGTATCATGAGCACATACAAAAAATATTAATATTCAAATGAAAATATCAAAATTAAAAAGATTAAGTCGTATAAAAACCAGTTAGAAATCATCAAAACATTATTATTGACTGATTAAACTAATAGCACGTCTTACAGGTAAATAACGTAATTAACATCTTGACATGTGCGAATCATTTCAAGATTTAAAAGTTAAGAATAATTTTGAATAAGTAATATAATTAGATCAAAATGAGTAGGAAATCAAAAAATCTAGAAAACATCAAAATAATCATTTTCATTATTGTCGACATGTTAACCGAGTTGTCAGATAGATACAGTAAAAACTATTTTAGTAACGACTATACTAATATATTGCTGATCAAAGTAAAACATTCTTTCCCCGATCGTAATTCTAGTTAATTTAATCGACGTTCCACGTCTAATAATTGTGCTTTCAAGGTCGACTACAATTTTCTTCAAGCTTTCGTTTGAACTCACTAAAATTAAATGTTTCAATAATACTTTTTCGAATTTCTTCAAGCTTTGGTTCTAACTCTCTCAACAATACTTCTAATTTATCTATATAGATATTAAAAGAGAAATCCTCATTTATAATTCTTTTAAGAGCCTGTTCTAAACTCTGTGTTATCGCTCTCAGAAATGATACGAATGTTTCTATATAAAAACCAAAAGTGAAATCTTTATGCGTTGTAACAGTGACAAAATAGTAAAGCCCTATCACTGTAAGACCGAATGCGAAAATTTCTATAAAGGTTTTCATGGTGACGAGGCACGTGTTTTGCCCACTTTTTTGTGGAGGTACAGGAGGCCTGACATTGTTCACGTCTTCGGAACATTCGTACGTAGTTTGAACTTTTTCCACAACGTTTCTGCGATTAGAGCGTCCATAGTAGTCCGGTAGGATTTGCCACAATTCAGGGGCCAACTTGGCAATACGATCGAGGCAGTCCAATCTGATCTCTTTGTGATCATATGGTTTTTCAACTAATAACTCACGAATTAAACTATCATCAGGATAATATCTAAGAAAGATTTTAATCACCTTAGGATATCTCCGTACGTTATCCTTATACATAAGATCTAATATAACATCAAGAGAGGCAGCAGCGTCCGCAGCAGCATAGAGTTTCAGTTCACGAGATAAATTAAATGCTTCCCAATCACCATAAACTTGTAAAGATTTTGGTTTTGGGAGAGTTTGATGGAGAACACTTAGTACCAGCGCTTCCAAACCTAATTTTACCATGAAATTCCTGCGCTTTGTCGTTACATGGTCGTCATCATTATAGTTAAAAAGCTCGGCTTCGTAATTTTTAAATTGCTGTAGAATATGTTCATCTAGGAAGGAAAACCGCCTAACAACAAGGCAGCGCAAGTCTAGCCATTGTCTCACAGTTACACCAAATTGAAGATTGATCCGTTCGACATCTTCTTCAATATTGACACCAACTTTGACTTGGTGTTTAATGCCCAGGGTATAAGACAACATACTAGGAAGAACACGTTCGTTTTCAAACCTACAAGTTTGAAACAACATAACATGTTCTTTCGTAGCAATCTGGATAACTGCAACACGATACTCAGCCGATCTAGTCGATACCCACTCACAATCAAGTCCAAGATATTGCACAACTCTAATTTTATTGATTATAAATTGTTGTACAGCATAGTTAGCTTCTGAGTTATTTTTCGGAATAATGATCGTTCGTCCTTCTGTGACATCGTACAAACCCATACCTGAATTGTAAAATGTATATACAAAATGATAATTACTGTACAAGAAAAATATAGCTCCAAGATAGGATGCATAATTCATAAATATTTCGAGCACTTGGAAATATTTATGAATTAAAACTTATAGTTTCTTTGATGTACACTCGCCCGGTTAGACAACATATAAGCCAAAATAGGCAGAATAATTATATGAAAAACGTTAATGGATTTCATGTTTCAAACTTCTTATTACACGCAGTGCAGTCTAAACTAAAATTTTACGAAAGTAAATTATAATTTGATACTTATATTCGTTTTTAATTTTACATCCAAGTAACACGCTACTTAGTTTGCTTGAATAATCAATAATCAATAATCAATAAAACTTAAACAGAAATACGTTTGATTAAACCCTTAAACTACTAAATCGAACTTAAACAACATTTACATCAATAGGCACTCGATAGCTGAATAAAATGTGTAACAAACTTCCCAACATGAATGAAATTTACGTTATAATATAAAAATAACGGTATGAGGCAAAACCATTTAAAACTAACATTATAAACATCAAATGAACAATTTCGATAAAAATGTAAACAAAATAAATAACTAAAGAAAACGTAATAACAAAAAACTTAAAAAAAAACAACTTAAAACTATTATTTTATTTCTCGCAATTTCTTACATGATTACTCCATCAAAACATTAATTTGAGAGTAATTGTACCGATAACAATCAGTATGAAAATATAAGCAAGCACCATGATATGACAAGTTCTAATAACAAATTCAAACAATTCAAACAATTGTCTGATTATATATAAAAACATTCCCTCCTCAACAAAAGTGTCATCGTCTCCACTAGTTGCACTTGATACTTCAACAACAAGATTTTCTTCTAGATTTTGAGTGCATTTCAAGGCGATATTAGATCTTTTGCTGTATGAACGTCCATAGTAGTCAGGTAAAATAGGTTGAATCCAACTCGGGGCTACCTCCGATATCATGTCAAGGCAAGATAATCTGATCTGTTTATGATTATAGGGCTTTTCAAGAACTGATAACCAAGACTTAGAGTCCTTTGTAGTTTTAGGATTGTGACCTATCTTGACATCTAGTGCATAAAATATGTCTAGTGACGACGCAGCATCTGCTGCAGCATACAACTTTAGTTCTTGAGTTAGTTCACAGGCCTCCCATTCACCCAACACTTGGCAGGGCTTTACCCAAACAACTTCCAACTAGTGTTTCTAGCCCTAGTTTTGGCATGAAATTTACACGCTTGGCCTTGACATCAACAGAAGATTTAAGGTTTTTAGTCCGTTTTAATTCGTATTCCTCCAGTTGCAGAAGCAGATTTTCACTTAGCAGCATATTTTCAATTGCAAAACATCTCAAATCTAACCAGCTTAGGACAGACTCTCCAAATTTGAAACGGATCCGTCTAATATCTTCTTGAATGTTTACTCCAACTTGTATGATACTTTTGTCTCGCAGTATTTTAGCCAATTGTAGAGGAAGGACACGTTCGTTTTCAAACCTACATACTTGAAACAAGAGTACGTGTTTTTCAGTCGCAATTTGGATCAATGCTACAAGAGACCTAGCACGCCCGGTCTTCCATTCACAATCCAGTCCTAACACATTGATATCTTTATCAATGATGTATTTTTGCACAGCAGCATTTGCTTCGTCGTTATTTCTGGGGATTATAATAGATCGACATTCTTCAACATCATACAGATTCATTCCTGAAAAGTATACAATAGATTAAAAAACCAAATGTTTCGGCACCATGAATAATGAATATGACAGCTGACAGAGGGCGAAAAAATTCTTTCAGCTAATTTGTTAGCTGTGTATAATATGATCTAAATCAAAATAGGATTTTAAATTAGTACGCATTGGATACATTTATCAGTGACGCATGCAAGATGTTTTTACAAGAACTTGAATGAATAGACTCAGATGGTCACAAACCGTAAAAAAAAGCTTATCATACAATATAATTTTGTAATGCTATGTACAATTCCAAAACAACAATTTAAATCTTTTTATAGGGTTTTATACCAGAGTAAGTCCCTCAAATAACGTCAGATAATAGGCTTTGACTGAAAAACATAACTAGAAATTACAGAAAATCATAAAAATCATACATCAGACATTAATCAAAGTGATAAATAACGAATGGGAATAGTGCATCACTGCGAATAAATAGAATTTTGCAAATAAGGTTTATATATATACATAATACACTATACAGTATACACCCTTCGTGTCTAAATTCATTCTATACTATACATTAAATACATTATACAGTATACAGTTAAAAAACAAAGTTCTGTCATAAATTTGACACAGAATGAAATGATCAAAAATCCCTTTTACATGGGGACAGAAAACGAAAGTAACGATTTGCCTTCAGAACAGGGACGATCAGGTACTAAGTTGTGGACATGACGTCGAAAATATGACCCACCACCTGCACCCAAACGTCACGTCCAGTACTAACTACTAAGTGCATGGTCCCCCCGCTCAGAATGAGGTATAATTGAGGGTTGTAGGATTTCGGTGAGAACAATCAACTCTATTAAGTGAGTATTCCTTGGTATTTTCTTCCTGAACCATTGAAATTATACCCAATCTGGTGCACTTTCCTGCACCTGGTCCATGAACTAGTGTTTTAAGTGTATGAATGAGGAGTGAAGCTAATCTCTGGTGGCATCTGAACTAGAAATTGAGGCTGAGGGAGTCCTGGCAATCCGAACTGGGGATGGAACATGACATTGTCTCGGTGGTATTGGCTCATAGGAACGCCTGGTGGTGGAGGTGGTAGTCCAAATGTAGGGTACGGTTGCTGGTAACTGTGGGGAACAAAGCTTACGTCTTGGTATAAATTTGGCTGCATAATCTCGGCTGGCCCTCTCAATTGTAAATGAGGGTCTGACGAACCAGGGTGAGAACCATTAGCTTCCTTGTGAAGGTGTGCATCATGTGAATCGATATAAATCGTTCTAGTCAGAGCAACGTTACGTGATCGGGCTGTGCTAAGTTTGTGAGACATTTTAACCTTTTTGTGACAAGGAGGTCTGTAGTTTAGGTTAATTGTAACACTTGACGGTGGTTGTGGTAAATATCTGGGGGAATCTTGCTGGTAGTTGTGGGGAACAAAGCTAACGTCTTGGAGGAACCCTGGCTGCATGGTCTTTGCGAGCTGTAAACGATGGTATGATGAACTTGGATGAGTACTATTAGCTTCCTTGTGAAGTTGTGAATCTTGTAAATAGTTCGGAATTTGGTTATTCAAAGCTTTTTCAAGTGGACTAGGTGAAACTGAAATGCGATCGTGAGATTTTTTGGACCTTTTAACCTTTTTACTAGGATAACGTTTGTAGTGATCAGCTAAAATTGGTCTCCACTGACGCAGAACCTTATGGGAGATAATGTCAAGACATGATTGTCGGACATCTCCGTCAATATAAGGCATTTCAATGACCAATCTCCAAGTGAGATCGTTTGAAGGAACTGAAAGCCATCTGAGATTGTAATTGGTATTCACCAAAGTACAATGTCTGGCTTCATCAAGCCCGAGGAATATGTCTAATGAAGCAGCAGCATCTGCTGCAGCATAAATCTTCATATCCTGGGATAGTTCAAATGCTTCCCAATTACCTAACACTTGTATTTTAAATAGCTTAGGCAGGCTCCGATGCAAAATATCTGCAACCAACTTTTCAAGGCCTAACTTCGGCATGAAACTGCTTCGTCTACCCTTAACAATTGAGTCGGTAAGAGGAGCATCATGTGACAATTTTAATTCGAAGTTTTGAAATTGTTGAACCAGAAATAACGAGAAAAAGTCTTTTCGAACAGCAAGGCATCTCAAATCTAACCAGCCCCTAACAGGAATTTGAAACTGAAGTAGAATTCTTCTAACATCTTCCTCAATACCAACTCCAACCTTAGTAATTCTTTCATCCAGAAGGATTGAAGATAACAGTTTGGGGAGCCTATGTTTGCTCTCAAACCTACATATTTGAAACAAGATTGATTGTTCTTCTGTAGCAATTTGGATTAATGCTACAGGACAACTAGCAAATTTGCTCTTCCATTCACAGTCTAGTCCTAAATACAGGGGAGCCTTTGTCAATGATGCACTTTTTTACAGCTGAATTGGCTTCTATTACGTCTCTGGGAATTATTATGGCTCGATTTTCTTCAACGTCATAAAGATTCATCACTGAAAAGTTTTTAATAGTTTGACATAAGAGCATAAGTGCTCTGTGGATACAAAAAATAAATAATAATTATTATAATATTATATAATGATGTGTTCACTATTCATACCTGATACTTACGATTGATTTAATTTTTGCATAAACATAATTTCCATACGGTCCTTGGCGTGTTTGTGCAATTTAAAAAGTGATGGTGGTCAGTTACAACTGGTCACAAAACCAAACATAAATTATTGTACAGTCATTAATACTAAATTTGATCACAAGAAACAGTTCAACCTGTTAAAGTTTTTTGGGCAGATTTAAACACAATATAATCAACACCATCTTGACATGATACGGTTAGCTGAATTCACATAATTAACAGTAATAAAGGGAAAACTCGACAAATGAAATCGCATACCACTTCAGAGTCCCCCCCCCCCCCTGCGACCTTGCATAAGACCACAACACGGCTAAATTTCTATCAGGTTGTTGTTAGGACGTTTCCCTCCCAATTGTCACATCACATATTCATATTTTAGAGGGTTGATCATAGTCTAAAACTACAAAATATACTTGATAAAAATAACACAAAGATAGTTTTTTATTTGAAAATTATATTATATTATTATATATAAATCAAGCGTTACATTTCAGCCATGCAAAATTACAATGACATATTTCGATATACTAATTGATAAATGGGGCTGCAATATAAGTTGATTATTGTGTGGCCGGATGACAACTAACTAAAAAAGAAAAATAAACTTGATTAAATATAATTTAATAATAAATTATTCGGCTGAACCAACACATAGTAAGAGCCACATTCACGTTGGGGCCGTCTCCCAAATTTTAATGACAAACAAAAACAATAAATTAAAAAATAAAGTGGCGATTAAAAATTTTAAAATCTTTATAAAAGCCTCTTCAACTCGAACATGAAATTTTTTCCTGCGAGGAATCATATCGAGGACTTTCTCAAATTCATCGTCCATAATGTGATTAAAACGAACACTTGATACGACCCTTCTACCATTAAAATACTTACCAAAGTATGCACTTAAATCAGCAACAGGGTTCCAAAAGCTGATTATGTCTAGGCAAAAGATTCGTATCCATTTATGATCATACTTGACTTCAACAGCAGAATTCCACTTTACATTCGGATTAAGGTCATGTTGGGGTAATAAATCCCCATACACTATAACAACTCCAGGTGGGAATACATTTTTAGAATGCCACTTGTCATCTAACATATTTAAAGCATGGAATACTTCAAGAGAAGTAGATGCATCGGCAGCAGCATATAACTTTTGATCTTCAGATAAATCTGTTAGCTCCCAATCTACGCTGAAACATCTCATAGAAGTTGTATCTAATTTCTTTCTTAAGCAATTTGAAGTTAGTGTTTCTAATCCTAATTTTGGCATAAAACTAGCACGTTTTTCATCGGTATTTCTTTCGATTCCATAAAATTCTTGAGACAGAAACTCTCCATAGAACATTTTAGTAACCAAAAGGCAGCGAAGATCCAACCATCCCCTACAACATGTATATCTACCATCACCATGGCTGGTCATCTTGCTATTATAAAACTGACTGTCCAAGCGTCCTATATCCTTCTCAATATCAACTCCAACCTTGACGATATATCTGTCAATTAAAACATCACACAATCTTTTTGGTAAAGTGTTAGCACACTCAAATAATGTAGTCTGGAGCAAGATAACACATTCATTGGTTGCAATTTGTATCACCGCTACATCAAACACATCCTCTCGTTCACTATAACTGTCACAGTTAAACCGATAACCCTGGTAATAATTCCCGCGAGAATTCCATTCACAGTCAAACCCGACCACAGTGACATTATCTTTCTGGATGTATTTCTTAACAGCATTGTTAGCTTCACGTTCATTAGCAGGTACAACAATAAGTCTTCTTTCTTCTACGTCATACTTTTTCTCCATCCTTTGGCATGTACTAGTCATTAATCATTGCATTGATCAAACATTGGAATACAAATTACATTTTATTGAAATCATATCTAAAGTGTTCCTGTTGTTGAGATAACCTTGAGCCTTGCGATACCAGTGTCACACTGTCAAAACACGACACCAAACTCTCTTAAAACTCTTAAACGTGATTGTAATGCAGTTACAATTTTCATATCGCAATTTCAATGCTTGATTAAATAAATGTCATGTGAATTTACTTATAGCTGATTCGATCACCGCTTATTATGTTATTATTATATTCACACATAATGGTATATATAATATATAATATCGGGAGAGAGTAATACTCAAACACATCAACATCACAAGCATTATCAATAAATCACAATAAAACATGCTTTAAATAATAATAAGTAAAAACCCCTCACAGTTACAATAAAATTGCACCGTTAACAATACAATTCTGAAAATAGATGTATGCCTCTGCAGAACTTAATCGCAATTTAAAGAGCGATAGTATTTTAGTATGAATAAAACATATAAAAATAAAAATCTTCATGCATTGCAGAACTGTTAAGTAATCCAGTCATAACTTGATTCAGCTATATAATATTCAATTGTATAGCCGCTGCTAAATCAAAATATCAAATTCATTCCCAAAATTATCGTAAATTGCTACCTATATTTCAAAGCTTGAATAACTGTTGGTATGAAGTAGGATAAGCTTGAAGTACTGTTAGTATGAAGTAGGATAAGCTTGAAGCACTGTTAGTATGAAGTAGGATAAGCTTGAAGTACTGTTAGTATGAAGTAGGATGAGCTTGAAGTACTGTTAGTATGAAGTAGGATAAGCTTGAAGCACTGTTAGTATGAAGTAGGATAAGCTTGAAGCACTGTTAATATGAAGTAGGATAAGCTTCAAGCACTGTTAGTATGAAGTAGGATAAGCTTGAAGCACTGTTAATATGAAGTAGGATAAGCTTCAAGCACTGTTAGTATGAAGTAGGATAAGCTTGAAGCACTGTTAGTATGAAGTAGGATAAGCTTGAAGTACTGTTAGTATGAAGTAGGATAAGCTTGAAGCACTGTTAGTATGAAGTAGGATAAGCTTGAAGCACTGTTAGTATGAAGTAGGATAAGCTTGAAGCACTGTTAGTATGAAGTAGGATAAGCTTGAAGCACTGTTAGTATGAAGTAGGATAAGCTTGAAGCACTGTTAGTATGAAGTAGGATAAGCTTGAAGCACTGTTAGTATGAAGTAGGATAAGCTTGAAGTACTGTTAGTATGAAGTAGGATAAGCTTGAAGCACTGTTAATATGAAGTAGGATAAGCTTCAAGCACTGTTAGTATGAAGTAGGATAAGCTTGAAGCACTGTTAGTATGAAGTAGGATAAGCTTGAAGTACTGTTAGTATGAAGTAGGATAAGCTTGAAGCACTGTTAGTATGAAGTAGGATAAGCTTGAAGTACTGTTAGTATGAAGTAGGATAAGCTTGAAGCACTGTTAGTATGAAGTAGGATAAGCTTGAAGCACTGTTAGTATGAAGTAGGATAAGCTTGAAGCACTGTTAGTATGAAGTAGGATAAGCTTGAAGCACTGTTAGTATGAAGTAGGATAAGCTTGAAGCACTGTTAGTATGAAGTAGGATAAGCTTGAAGCACTGTTAGTATGAAGTAGGATAAGCTTGAAGCACTGTTAGTATGAAGTAGAATAAGCTTGAAGCACTGTTAGTATGAAGTAGGATAAGCTTGAAGCACTGTTAGTATGAAGTAGGATAAGCTTGAAGCACTGTTAGTATGAAGTAGGATAAGCTTGAAGTTAGTATGAAGTAGGATAAGAACTCTGAGTACCTAGTTTAGTGACACTCTGAGAAGCAACACTACAAGCAACCTCAACCTTTCTTTGAAACGACCTTCCTTTCAACGACTCATCAGCCAACAGACAAGCAAGCGATCCGATAAATGCATCTCCAGCACCAGTGGTATCAACAGCTTTAACCTTCGGACAGGGAACATGGACATTTTCACCAGAGCCGTCTTGATAAATCACACCATTGGCTCCAAGAGTTACCATTCCCATCTTGCAACCTTTCTTTCTTAACAGACCCGCTGCATTAGAAGCCTCTTCCACTGAGTTAACAGATTCTAATCCAAGGAGCTTCTCTGCCTCAGATTCGTTAACACAGAAGATATCAACTAGCTTGTACAGTTCGTCAGGGAGGCTATCAGTTGCCGGAGCAGCGTTGTAGATTGTGGTAATGTCCTTGTTTAGACTCTTGATAAGCTTCAGAGCAGTCAAGTTGGTGGATAAAGGTATTTCCTGTTGGAACACCACAACTTTGCCGCTTGCCAGAAGACTCTTGGCTTGATTAACGGCCTCGTCATCAAGCTCGTTGTTTGCTCCTCCGACTATAACAATACAATTCTCAGCCTGATTGTCCACTGTAATGGTAGCCACACCAGAAGCTGCAGACTCCACCCTCCCAACGTGGGTGATGTCTACTCCGACATTCTTCAAATTCTCTATGTAATTATCTCCGAATGTGTCTGTGCCCAACTTGGCTACAAGAGCCGTCTTTGCACCTAGTTTTGCAGCCATTACAGCTTGGTTGGCTCCTTTTCCGCCAAAACCCACCATGAACTTAGTTCCATGGACAGTTTCTCCGCCCTTTGGTAGAACTGGAACGTAACTGATCAGATCAGTCATACAAGATCCCACAACAACAACAGAGGCAGTCATTCTCAACTCTGGTCTGCAGAACACCTTTTAAATAAATTATTTCAGTTTAATTTTGACTATAACTTTCATGCATTATGTAGTCGAAGTTTAAATAAAATCAGGGAACATGGTGGCTTACTAATTCCCAACTTCAATGTACTTTACATAAAGAAGCAAATTACAATTTATGGCCTACATAATTTGGAGAACTATACCTTAACAATTCAAATGACTACACATGCCTTCTTTAACAAAAAATAATAGCTTAATTGATAAATCAAAATGTTTCATACATAATTTAAAATCTGATACTCATCTCATAACGACTGTTCAGTGATGCAGCTTGTATAAAAGTATTTTTTAATGAAAAATTTATTAAAAATAAAGAATTGTTATAGGCTTTAAAATGAATGTATCACAACTTAATCCTCCCTTGACAAAAAATCTTTAACTTATTGAAACTAGAAGACATAATACTGTTAAATCTAATCAAAAACTTTCCATGAACGGTTTTTTTTCAAATGCAACATTACTGCTTCATTGGCCAAAGTTACAATTTATGCTTTGATGCGATGCGGAAGTTGTTTAGTTTAAAAAATGTTAAATTATCAGAGAGATCAATTAGTGACAATAGTCTCTAGAGCTTATCAATTAATAATCTTGTAATCTTAGTAATCTTGCATGGCTGAAATGTAACGCTTGATTTATGTATGTAATAATTAATTGAATTTTCAAATAAGAAATTAAAAAATATGAAAAATAACGTAAATCGAATCAACAAAATAATAAAGCATTTAATCAGACTATCTAATCTAAGGGTAGCTACAAGGGGAGATAAATAATATAAATATTTGCATTAAGGTCTGTCTTCTGAATAAAATAACAAAATAATCAAGTAGATGATGAGTTTCCCACAATAGCCACTCTATCCTGGAACTGAGGAAGACCTCTGTCTCTAATTACTGAGTCCGTCATGGTGGTAGTGCCACTGCCGATATCAGTGAACGATTTAGGCTCCACAACTCTAGCTGGCTCTGAATAACTCGGCTGAGCCTCAGAATCTTCACCACAGCAGCAATCTGAACAACCTTCCCGGAAAATATCACATTTGTACATCAGGAAACCGTAAATTATAGGATTAGTAACGATAGAGAGGTAGAAGAATATGTACACAAGTGCTTTGGGTCCAGAGGGAGTGTATCTTAAGATACCGTAGATAATCCCATACGGTAACCAGGTTACCAGAGCAGTAGTAACAACCAGTGCTCCAGAAAGACGCTTACCACGTGACATACGAGGTTCCTTACAGCAGAGAGAGATCCAGATACCAGAGTGGATGAAGAGAGGCAGGATGTTGAAGATGACCATGTTGAAGTAATCAACCAGACCTTCCCAGTTAAAAGACGTTTCTGCAGCATTGTGGATAGAACACTTACGGTACGTGTCAGTGTATCTAGAGTCGAGGTAGTGCTCCTCTATCCCTACAATAAGAAGTATTGCCTCTATGATAGGGAGGACCCAGCAGATAGCAATGATCACTCTCAACACTCTCTTTGTAGGGAGGAAGACACAGATGCAGGATATAGGTATGATAGCCAACATGTTCAGATCACTGAGGAGCCAGGAGGAGATGATACTGAGGACTTTGCACCTCACAGTACCCACATCAGACGAAGTAGCCTCCCCGTAGATAACACTGGGCCAGATGAAGCCAGGTCCTCTGATAGTAGCAGCAGCTATGGAGAGGAGGATGTCAACTACACTCATGTTAACTAGTACTGTCTTGAACCTCTTCCGGTGGGCCTCTCCTCTGTGGTTGTATTTGAGGAAGAAGAGGAGAGTGTTTGAGTTCAGGAACAGCCCAACCACACCTGAAATTAAAATCAAGTTCTATATATTTCCAGTAAGAAGACAAGAAGTAAACCTTACAGTTTCAACTATAAAGACTAAGTTCTTACTTAATATGGACCATTTTGAGTTAACAATTTCCATAAAATGTTTATTTTAGTATCTAGTTTGACTAGCAACTGAACTCACCAAGAAAGATGACACAAATCCCTGTAACAAGAGTATACAAGTCATGTTCTGCACCATTTTCTGGCTCTCCTACTACCACCACTACCATCGCTGGTAAGAGAGCGTGATTTTACAGTTGTTAGCTGTATAAATATAATATTATATTTGTGAGCAGTATAGACACAATATACCTATATAAATAAGTACTACCCCATATTTTAATATGAACAATAAACATAATATGATATGAAAAGTACAATGTATTCGATAAAACTCAGTAAATCAAAGACAAAAATACACAATAAGTATACATAATATAACAGAGAAAACATTCAAGATAAATAAACTAACATACAATACTGGATGCTTTTTAAACCCCAAAAAATTATCACTTAAAAGTTAGAATAGTAGGTAAAATGGAAACATTCAATAATTAGAATAGATTACAAATATAATATTATGAACAAATTAATCACAGGAAATAAATGAAATTAAAATGTCTAAAATACGATAATATCCCCAAACTTGTAAAAATATCTAGCTAATTAAGAACTTATTAACAGTTTAAAATTAGATACAACTAAGTACAAGATTTATTTTATGCTTAAAAAGAGTTAATTACTTTAAATGTAAATTCAACAACTGGACCTTCTTTTCTTCAGTTTTTCTTGCACATAGTTTATTTTATCTTTTGTTTGAATGATTGTGCTTTAGATACCTTCAGTACAGGGGCAGATTACAGAGTAGCTAAACATTTAGCTTATCAGGTTTCACCTTGGTGGTTGTTGCACTAGCTGTATTCGGAGTGGAGGAATTGTCAGCAACAACAGCAGAAGATGAGGATCCCATAATAGCAACTCTGCCCTGACACAGAGGGCTAGTAACAGTGTCCGTCATGGTGGCAGTGCCACTGACGATATCAGTGAACGATTTAGGCTCCACAACTCTAGTTGGCTCTGAATAACTCGGCTGAGCCTCAGAATCTTCACCACAGCAGCAATCTGAGCAACCTTCCCGGAAAATATCACATTTGTACATCAGGAAACCGTAAATTATAGGATTAGTAACGATAGAAAGGTAGAAGAATATGTACACAAGTGACTTTTCTTCAGAAGTGTCGTAGCGTAAGATACCATGGACTATCCCATACGGTAACCAGGTTACCAGAGCAGTAGTCACAACCAGCGCTCCAGAAAGACGCTTACCACGTGTCATGCGGGGTTCCTTAAAACACAGCGCGCTCCAGATACCAACATGTATGAGTAGAGGCAAGATATTGAAGATGATCATGTTGAAGTAGTCCACCAAGTTCTCCCAGTTGAACATCTTCCCATCAGCCAGATGAATAGAACACTTGTGGTAACTAGTGGTGTAGTGAGAGTTCAAGTACCCTCCCTCTATTCCTATGATGAGGAGGATTAGCTCAATCAGAGGAAGACACCACACAGCCGCTATAATCCCTCTCATCTGCTTTTCAGAGGGGAGAAAGACGCATATGCAGGATATAGGTATGATAGCCAAGGTGTTGAGATCACTAAGGAGCCAGGAGGAGATGACACTGAAGAAAGTGCATCTGACAGTGCCTGTACCTAGGGTAGTAGCCTCCCCGTAGATAACACTGGGCCAGATGAAGCCAGGTCCTCTGATAGTAGCAGCAGCTAGGGAGAGGAGGATGTCAACTACACTCATGTTGACTAGAACGGTCCTGAACCTCTTCCGGTGCTTCTCTCCTCGGTGGTTGTATTTGAGGAAGAAGAGGAGTGTACTGAGGTTGAGGACAAGTCCAGTGATACCTGGGAGGATATTGGTATTAAGAAGAGGAGTGTACTGAGGCTGAGGACTAGTCCAGTGATACCTGGGAGGATATTGGTATTAAGAAGAGGAGTGTACTGAGGTTGAGGACTAGTCCAGTGATAGTTGATACCTGGGAGGATATTGGTATTAAGAAGAGGAGTGTACTGAGGTTGAGGACTAGTCCAGTGATACCTGGGAGGATATTGGTATTAATAGTTGATCACTTACATTGATGTAAAGTTTATTTGAATTTTGAAATAAAAACATGGTGTTCACGAAACATTGGTACGGCTTTAGTTAATTCACGAAGGAGCAACCAGGTCCCTTTTGCGCTTACAATTTTTTTCGTAAATCGGGAAAGATTTTGTTAAAACCCTAGTCCAGATTTCAAAACGTTGACATAGTTCTATAAATTTTGTATACTTTACTCTGGTGGTCGGAAATGGTCTTACCGAGGAAGATAACACACAGGCCTGTAACTAGAGCAAACTTTTCTGGATCTGTTGAATGCCATGTCATCCCTGGCAAATAAAGCAACATAATTTGTGTGATTAGTATAAATAAATTATTGCATCTTAAAAGTTAGAAATTTAAACATTGTACAAAAATCACGTTTATCAAAAATTGTAAAAATCAATTAATTAATCGCGAGTATCTAAAAACGAATACTTAGGGGAATTGAAAGAAATTTAATCAACATTAATAATAGTAATATAATATGATTGATGAATACGAAACAAAGTTTTGAAAGTGTAAATTACTCTATTTAAACCAGGATAGTGACCGGATCTGGTCACCAGATCCTACAACTTGGAGAAACTTTGGAGCAACTTTTTCGTAAAAAAGTGGATAATCTCTGGAACATGAGCAGTTTCGGTCATCCTTTTTGCAGGAGTTTCTGTGTAAAGAAAACAGTCCGTCCACAACCAACTTAATTGAGTGTTCCTCTTTGTTAAGACCTTGACACTTTTCTAAAGCTTCTTCGATGAAATTGTGGAACCAGTTGTTGAGTTCTTTACTGTCCGGAGATAAGGTGATATCACCGGCTAGAGTTGATATTCTCAGTTCTTTGAAGTTGGGACTGGTGTTCTTGATAAACAACACAATATCGTCCGCAGGGAGAACGTTTCTTTTATCTGTCATGGACAGATATGCTAGTTTATCAAGGAGTGGCAACACTCGAGCAGCTATTATTTTGAAACAGCTAACTATATCATAGTCATGGTTTATTTTTATGTGCCCTGGACAGTCATTATAGTCAAGAATGAGCTTCTTGAGGCTGGTAAGCTTATTAAGCTTGATGAGGTGCTCTGCGGAAATCAAACATTCGGATAAATTCAGTTCTTCTAAGAAAAGGCAGTGACGTGATAAAACATCAAAGAACACGTCATCGTTCGTTTGATCATGAAGTTGTCGGGAAATATCTAGTTTTACAAGATTAGGTGACAGCTTCAAAATAGAAATTAGTTTGCTACATTTGATAGGAAAGGGATGACGATAACCACACTGGACATCATTCCTTCTAGCTGCTAAAAATGTATTCATGTTCTCAAAAGGGGGAAATGAAATTGTATTGATATCGAGAACATCAAGGTGTGCTTCAGAAACATTCAGATGTTGCAATGTGGAAGAAAAATTCCTCAAAATGTATTCGGTACAACAAGGTTGCAGGCTGGCGAATTCATGGCATGTAAATGAAGACAGCGGATTGATGGAGGAAAGAGATTCCCCGATGCATAAAGGAGGACCCCTGTTCGCATAACTAACAGTAGCTGTGATAGCAAACGATTTCAGCTTCCTGGTAAAACTTAGCATGTATTGAACCTCTTTGCTCGTAAAATATATGTTGGTAGCATCCAATGAGAGGCTTTCCAAGTTGGGACAAAACTTTTCTCCAATAACTTTAGCCACACGTGGAGTAAGAGCAAAGGTCTTTCCAATGTATAACTTAGTCAAGTTAGGCATCAAATCTGCCATAACAGAAAAGAGTGAAGCTGTCAAGTTTTTAATTCCGAACAGTGATAAAGAAGTCAAAGCTCCGTTGTTTAGGGATAACACTGACAGCATCCTCTCCACACTTATTACTCTAATATTTTTTAAATATAACGGACTGTCACATAAGGCTGTGGTACGCAGCCGTTTAATTCTTGATATTCTCGATAAGCAAAGATTGTACCATCTTTTACAGGTAATGCTCATCCGAAAATATTCACGAATCCCGAAAAAGGAGAGAATGATATCCAAACATTCGTCATTCAAAGCAAGGATAGTGGGTAATGTATCATCTGCAGCGGAAGAATTTGAAGTGTCGTAGTATGCTAAGTTATGAACAGGTAAACATCTTCGCTTGGCGGGATGTTCTTCTTCAAGTGGAACATCCATCCTGTAAAATAATGTTACTTGAGAGGATTGTATCAAAAGGAATATGCTCGTTAATCAACAATTTTGTATAATTTGAATTGTTGATTGTTTTTACTTTATTTCATTTAATCAGGCTGCATTTCACTGGATCTGGATAGTATATTATTATGAAAAAGAGAAATATCGGATTAAAATTCATTACTGAATAGTACAATGATTTAAATAATGTGTTATCCGATATCACATAGGGTCAGCACGCGAAGTAATGGACAATTTGGATCTAGTCAGAAAAGTATATAAGTTGCAGAAATTAAATAGAAACTACAAATTTTTCTGAACTGAAGCTGAATTTAGATATTTTAGAACTTGAAATAGGTGATAATCAATAATTATTTTGTTTCTCGGATTTACAAATTTTTGGTATCATGGTATAGTTCTAACGATGATGAGATCAGAACACACGGCCATAATTCTGGGAAAACTTGCATTGTTGGAATATCGTGATTTTAAAACGGCATTGAATCAAAAAAAGTGTTACGAAAAAACGGCGTTATTTTGCTGAAATTTGGGCTCAGCGTCGGACTGTTTTCAAAAGCTCATGATAAATTGTAATAAAATGATGCAATCATGAAAATTTCTGGAATCTATGTACAAATAACTTTTCCAAACGGTGGCATAAAGTATGATAAGTTTACAAATATCCGTGTATTTGATAAACGCAATAATATAAGTCAAGTCAGAAACACGCCTACTCGCACACATTTTGAAATATAACTCCAGCTAGCAACGGCGCAAAACAACCAAAGTTTCAGTGAAATGGTGCCCACATGTCTGTGGAACGCGCAGTAGAGCTATCGCACGTGAGAAATGTCTCAGTCAGTCTACCTTGTTTGGCGCGCTGTTTCGTTTCCGTTACAAATTTTGACCTTGTACGCCATTTTGTCGCCATTTTGTCAATTTATACGTAATTTCGTAAATTTCGTCAATACCACGTTTAGCCAAATTCCACAGAGAGCTTATAATTTACTTCCAACACGAAATAAACATTGCTAAGGCCATGAAGTTACCTAATGGCTACTTTTAACGGAAAATCAAGTCATTCTGTGACATGTAGCGTCCTTTTGTCACTTAAATGGATGACGTTGACTCTAGAACATCGTGAAACTTTCCATCAGTAAAGCTAAAAGTATTTCCATTCTAAAAAACTTTACTTCAAGATAATTGCACGATTGAACTTGTCTTCAACTTTTAAGCTGTATTACGTCTCGAAATAAGCGATCGACCGCGCAGGATTACCACCTACTTGAAATCATTGGACTTCAGGTATTGAAAGTTTATATTGATAATTAATTCCAGATTATCAGCAACTTCACACTCAATAAATAAGAAGACGGGCATACCATACGCAGCAAAATGATAAAATATTGAAATTCAGTGAATTTAATGCCCCTCGGGCCTCGATATAACAGTATCTCTGATGATGGTGGAGTATTTAAACACATCATAACATTCAAGTATGTTCTTTGTATAAGAGGATCAAATAAATTTTAAGTTTAATTCAAATACTTTATACTATAAAGAATGCTACCCCAATGTAACGGTATCTGTATCATCGCAACGGTATGTGGTAGTGAGTATTTAATATATCATTCATGTAAATTATAAAACTGAAAACTAATAATCACATTTCACCGCATTGTTCAATAAGAACTGGGAATTTAGGTCTATTATTAGCAGCGGTTGGAACATTCTCGATCTTCCTCAAGACCAACATTCCATCACTGACTTTACCAAAAGCCACGTGCTTGTTGTCCAGGAAGTCACAGGGCTGGCAGGTGATGAAGAACTGGCATCCGTTAGTGTCTTTACCGCTGTTAGCCATCGACATTATACCGGGTCCTTTGTGCTGCAGGGAGGAATGGTAATCATCATAATGTTAATAGAATACCTTATACCCCCCCCCCCCCCCCCTTATAATCTGGGTTGGAATTTTCTTATTTTTGTTAGGGTACTATCTTCTAATAAATAAGGTACTTAGCAAAATATAAGTAAGTATAATATATAAGTATGTATAATATAAGTAAGTATAATATAAGTATGTATGTAAGTATAGGTACAGCAGAAAATCGAATCTTGATATCATCCAAGAAGCAAAGTTTGTTCCTAAACTATCTAAAAACACTACTAATATAATATAAGGTGTTTTTTATGGAGTTAAGACCTAGTTTAGTTTACAGTACACAAGGAGTGAGTAACAGTAAACATAGGTGTTACGGTAACCATGGTAATATAACCTAGCCTTAAAACTTAATCGGACAATTCTAAAGATTACTAAACAGCAGTTCTACCTTGACAGAGAAGTTCTCATCTTCAAAATGTTTGCCGTAAATACTCTGACTTCCCGTACCGTCGTTATTCAAGAAATCTCCTCCTTGAACCATGAAATCCTTGATAACTCGGTGAAAATGACATCCTTTAAACCTGAAAATATTAAGTTTATTACATTTTACCATTATAGTATGTAAATAATCTATAACATAAAATTGTCCTGAACGTTTTGGTTTCAGAGTTAAAATCATTTGGGGAAAGAAAATGGCTGCTTGACTACACTAAACTAACCCAGTAATGGCTGCTTGACTACACTAAACTAACCCAGTAATGGCTGCTTGACTACACTAAACTAACCCAGTAGATGGCTGCTTGAAGCTTGACTACACTAAACTAACCCAGTAATGGCTGCTTGAGTACACTAAACTAACCCAGTAATGGCTGCTTGACTACACTAAACTAACCCAGTAATGGCTGCTTGACTACACTAAACTAACCCAGTAGATGGCTGCTTGAAGCTTGACTACACTAAACTAACCCAGTAGATGGCTGCTTGATTACACTAAACTAACCCAGTAGATGGCTGCTTGATTACACTAAACTAACCCAGTAATGGCTGCTTGACTACACTAAACTAACCCAGTAATGGCTGCTTGACTACACTAAATTAACCCAGTAATGGCTGCTTGAAGCTTGACTACACTAAACTAACCCAGTAGATGGCTGCTTGACTACACTAAACTAACCCAGTAGGCACACCGTCCCTCCTGAACTCCCCAGTACACAGCTGTCTAAAATTCTCTGCAGTTCTTGGCACGTGGTCCGAGAACAGCTCCATCTTTATACGTCCTGCAGGATGACCTCCAATACTGATGTCGAAGAATACCACTGGGTTCACTGTCATCTTGCTGTGAAACTTGGGAGATGAGCGGTTAGTTTAACAAACTTGGGAGATGAGCGGTTAGTTTAACAAACTTGGGAGATGTACGGTTAGTTTAACGTGGCAGTAATATTATGGGCTGTTTTGTAGTTCAGGTGCATACCCAGCAATGTGATAATATATAGCCGCAGGTAATATTATGATTACGTAATAATAATATGTGAACGACCCCTAAATCAATTATTTATGTACATTATTGTAGAGAATTATCACTAAGATGTGGTTCACAACATTACAATAATAATGTTAACTGTCTGATCAAGCTCTAGATCATAAAAAAGATTCAAGGAAAACTCTCAACTCAAAAGTGAATAAATTATGATAATATTATAAAATATTTATACTCTTGAACACACGGTATAATTCATAAACTGTCACGAGAAGGAGTTCAAAAATCAAATAATTAAAATATTAAGAGTAAATATTATACCTTAACACAAGTTATTAAACTTATCTTGTTGCAATAATATTTCTAAATTAAGAAATAGTGACAAAAATTCAACATGATATATCCGAACTTCATTAAAAGGCATCTTTGTTACAACCAAAGGTTTTCCATCTCCAATAAACTGGCAAATTGTCACATACAAAAATCAGAATCAGACTGATTTGAACACCATGGTAACCTGGTAACCTGGTAGCCTGGTAGCCTGGTAACCAGACCTCAAGTATCAGTGGTACACTTCCAGTTGTCCCCCTCCGCTGCTTCATCTAGTTGGTCTGTGAACTCTGCCTCTAATTCATCCATCAGTTCTCCTTCCAGCGAGTTATCAGATCCTGGGATGATTAGTTACTCGGCTACATTGTCACTAGTGACTAGTGACTAGTGACTAGTGACTAGTGACACTCTAGTTAATTTACTCGGCTACATTGGAAATTTCAGCTTTAACTATTTAACTAAACCGACATATAAGATATCAGAGGGAAACCTTGAAAATTAATAGTCAATGTTTAATTTTGGAGAAAACACCCGATCTCTTCAGATTACAACTATATAATTCTATCATAGTAACCATGGTACCTAAACTGTAGGGTTACCGTAAGTAACTACATAGTAACCATGGTAACTAAACTGTAGGGTTACCGTAAGTAACTACATAGTAACCATGGTAACTAAACTGTAGGGTTACCGTAAGTAACTACATAGTAACCATGGTAACTAAACTGTAGGGTTACCGTAAGTAACTACATAGTAACCATGGTACCTAAACTGTAGGGTTACCGTAAGTAACTACATAGTAACCATGGTAATTACACTGTAGGGTTACCGTAAGTAACTACATAGTAACCATGGTACCTAAACTGTAGGGTTACCGTAAGTAACTACATAGTAACCATGGTAACTAAACTGTAGGGTTACCGTCAGTAACTACATAGTAACCATGGTAACTAAACTGTAGGGTTACCGTAAGTAACTACATAGTAACCATGGTAACTAAACTGTAGGGTTACTGTTAGTAACTACATAGTAACCATTGTAACTAAACTGTAGGGTTACTGTTAGTAACTACATAGTAACCATGGCTGGTAACTAAACTATTATTCTATACCATATCCGTCCTGCTCCCCTTCATCTCGGTCCCCCAGAAGTTCCTCCTCCTCCTCCGCATCCACCTCACTTCTACTCCTCTTCCTAGTAGGTAGGGTGGGGTCCTCTGCTGGCGGTCCTGTCAGTTCATTGCTCTCCATAGACTCTGCTTCTGAGGAGTCTTCCGAGTCTGGTGGGGATTTAGTTATTTGTTGGAGTTTATTTAATTTAGTTATTTGTTTGCAGTGAGGAAGGGGCCTGTTACCATGGGTATCCAATATCTATAAGCTGTAACAAAGTGTTTATATTATAACCTTTGTAAGTAAGATCTAGAAGTAATAAATAGAATACTAACCGGTGGGGGAGGAATAGTCGGACTCAGATCCGTTAGCCAGGATATCATCCACCTCACTAGTCATAGCTTCCAGTACCCCTTCTCCAAGGGAAGCCTTTAGTTCTGTCTTTAGTTCCGCTAACATAGGCTCCGGACTCCGGGACTTTGATCTCTTTCCTCCGGTCAAACCTTGCCATTCAAACGTCTGCGGAGGCAATATTTAAGAATTTAAGACCTGGGTTTTCTACAATAACTTAACATCGATTTATGATGAATTCATCACAAGCAATTATTCACAATAACTAGCAGTAGATAAGAACTAATAACCTCCTAAAGACAATATAGACTAGCTGTTAACATGAGCAAAAGCAATTATTAACTCGTGTGCAAATGAATAATTATAAATAAATAAGCACAATTAATAAATTAAACACAATTGATAAATAAACACAATTGATAAATAAACACAATTGATAAATAAAGACGATTAACAAACAAGTTTTTAAGTTAAGTATTAGAGAAGAAGTTACCGTAGTGGGGTAGTTCTCCCACACCTCAAAACATCTCCACAACCACTGATCAGTGACAATCTTGATCCCCATCTTGAGAGCCTGGTGTACCTTCCCCGTGTCACTCCTGGAGGTGACCAGATGGGTCGTCCGCTTAGTTCCGGACTTTACTAATGTCATACTCACTGACGCTCCCATCTGGTTAAGGGAGTTAGTGAAATTAGAAGGGTTACAAGTTAGAGTGGATACTGGTAACCATGGTTACTAGTAACTACACATGGGTAATTTTATGATGCACAAGAATCTAGGACTAAATTATAATTATCCCAATAATTATGATAACTAAATACAGTAAGGGCAGTAAGGTACAACCTATAGCTATATTATATAAATAGTTAATGTACCTGAAGAGCAGCACACCAGATAGGATGGTTCCGTGGGTTAGGAAAGTTGGTAGGAATGATACCACTGAACACAATGTAACTATCTGACAGAACCTCTCTGAGCTGTGGCAGGATGGTTTTAGTGTCCGGGAGCTTCTCCACGTCTAGAGTTTCTGTGTAGTTCTCATAAAACATATCGTGGATCTGGGAGGCAGGGTTAGGGTTGAGACAGGGGAAACTGTAGAAAAGGAGATCTAATTTTAAATTATGCCTTAAGTATTTTGTTGTCTCGCTATCCAATAACTCTATAAAATCCCTGCTTCCTTTAGTCATATCAATGAGAAAACGATAGGAAGTCTTCAACAAACTACCATAATTAACAACACACCACAACATTTGAACTTTAGTATAAAACACAACACAACATTTGAACTTTAGTATAAAACACACCACAACATTTGAACTTTAGTATAAAACACACCACAACATTTGAACTTTAGTATAAAACACAACACAACATTTGAACTTAAGTATAAAACACAACACAAATGTTACCTTTGTCAAGAGACCACCTAATGTGTCCAGGTATCTATCCTGATCGGTCTCAGCTTTGCCACTGTAAAGTTTAAACAGAGGAGAAGACATCCTGATAACATCTCTCTCCTTCTGCCGCTCTGGACCTCCCTCCACAAACTTCATGTAGAACTCGGACAGACCCTTGACATGATCCTTGTGTTTGCATAATGTTGATATTATTGGTTCATGCTCATTTTCTGATGATTCATGGCTTGAGTTCTCTGAAAATTTTACTCGTTTGGATGATGTATTATTAGAAGCGGTTGCTTCTTCTGTGTTGGCCGATGATTCTTCAGTGGTCTCTGATGACTCTTCAGTGTCCATGGCTTCTGCTAATTCATTCTTAAGTTCTTGTGTGTCTAAAATTGAATGCACTTCCTCTGGCTCTGAGCTCGATTGTCCGCTATCCGGTCTCGACAGTTTATCTGATACTCTCTGAACATGAAGGAGGGCCAACTCAAAGTTACCATCCAGCAAGAGAGATTTGAGGATTTGGAAGACTTTACTGTAATCTACTGATCCGTTCTTGAGCAAGGGCACGTGTTCGACACACTTTATGTTGCTGTGCGCTGTCCTGTAACAAACCGCGTTGGAGGATCCATTTTAATTTATTCGTCAAGTTTTGTAGCCTGTGCTTTACAAGGATTTTATTGAACCAATTCATGGATTAGATGTACTAGCTCGTTAAATCAAACTTAGTATTTAAATAGATAGTTGCTAATTTGTTAGTTACTTAACAAAAACTAACCTGACACAGAAAGATGTCTGCTCAATGTCCAGAGGTTTATTTTTCTTGAATTGGGCTATCTCTGAGTAGCCCTGGGCTGAGTCCTTCCGAAGTTTAGAATGTCGAGAATTTGGATCATTGATATCCCCTACATCCTGAAGGGTTACCAAGTTTACCATCAGAATTTAGCTTTAGGGCCATTTGCATTGCATCAAGTAAATATTTTGATCATAGATCGGTTAATTGTGAGGCAACATGCATCTAATATTAAGAAAGGTACATAATTTAAGTTGAACATCTTATATAATATTTATATCATATTCTAGTAGTAAGAACTAAGAATTACTAGTAATCATTAACATACTGGTTATTTATGTAGTAAAAACACTAACAAGCTGGTTATTTATGTAGTAAACACACTAACAAGCTGGTTGTAAACACTAAACACTGTAACATTACCTCAAAGAAGCTGTAAGGTCTGACTCTGATAAGATTAGGACAGTTAGTCCACATATCAAACCTATCGTCTATAATAACCACCATCCGGTCCCCTTTAGGGAACAGAGCCTGTAACTTGTGTACTTTGGAGTGGTTATCAAAACACTCGTCACGTGATAGGATCCGCGAGGAAAATATTCTGAAAAATAAATTAAAATAAACATTTTGGACAGTGGGTGGAGTTCAATGACTGTGCGGAAGATCGAATCTTTATAACTTGAAACTAGATCCCAAAATTTCAGTAGATGTAAAATATTTTAATCCATTGCAAGTTGCTCACTTTCTGTCAGGGTCAATGTAAGAAGTGGAACTATAAAACTCACTTTCTGTCGGGGTCAATGTAAGAAGTGGAACTATAAAACTCACTTTCTGTCAGGATCAATGTAAGAAGTGGAACTATAAAACTCACTTTCTGTCAGGGTCAATGTAAGAAGTGGAACTATAAAACTCACTTTCTGTCAGGGTCAATCATGTAAGAAGTGGAACTATAAAACTCACTTTCTGTCAGGGTCAATGTAAGAAGTGGAACTATAAAACTCACTTTCTGTCAGGGTCAATGTAAGAAGTGGAACTATAAAACTCACTTTCTGTCAGGGTCAATGTAAGAAGTGGAACTATAAAACTCACTTTCTGTCAGGGTCAATGTAAGAAGTGGAACTATAAAACTCACTTTCTGTCAGGGTCAATGTAAGAAGTGGAACTATAAAACTCACTTTCTGTCAGGGTCAATGTAAGAAGTGGAACTATAAAACTCACTTTCTGTCAGGGTCAATGTAAGAAGTGGAACTATAAAACTCACTTTCTGTCAGGGTCAATGTAAGAAGTGGAACTATAAAACTCACTTTCTGTCAGGGTCAATGTAAGAAGTGGAACTATAAAACTCACTTTCTGTCAGGGTCAATGTAAGAAGTGGAACTATAAAACTCACTTTCTGTCAGGGTCAATGTAAGAAGTGGAACTATAAAACTCACTTTCTGTCAGGGTCAATGTAAGAAGTGGAACTATAAAACTCACTTTCTGTCAGGGTCAATGTAAGAAGTGGAACTATAAAACTCACTTTCTGTCAGGGTCAATGTAAGAAGTGGAACTATAAAACTCACTTTCTGTCAGGGTCAATGTAAGAAGTGATAGTGTCAGCGTAGTCACGTGCTCCCATTGTGAACACGTGCAGCTCGTACAATCTGCTCATGTCCTTCAGGAACTCCAACGTTCCTGGTCTCAGTCTGGTGGAGTATCTGGAGAGGGGAGAGATTTACGTGTTAAGTAAAACATACACTCTCTGGAGTCTGATAGTAAGCATTTTATGATAGTAAAATATCCTAAAGATATTTGCTATTAAAGTATTAAGTGTTACTCAGAATGGAAAGGAAAGAAATCTGCCAAATAAAAGATAATCACAGTATTCCTCACTAAAAACCTGAATTTCTTGTTAGAAAGATAAAAGTGAAACACGCCCGGAATTCCCTCCGGAATGTTATCAGTAGTGGAAGTGTGTATGATGGTCTGGTCCAGATCCACCACCAGGGTCAGCTTCTTCCTCTTCAGCTGGTGGAGGATATCTGACATTCCCAGGGCAGACGCTTCTGATACGCTTACTGATACCTGGGGGTGTTATCAGTTTAGTTACCATGGTTACTATGTAGTTATCAGTTTAGTTACCATGGTTACTATGTAGTTATCAGTTTAGTTACCATGGTTACTATGTAGTTATCAGTTTAGTTACCATGGTTACTATGTAGTTATCAGTTTAGTTACCATGGTTACTATGTAGTTATCAGTTTAGTTACCATGGTTACTGTGTAGTTATCAGTGAAGGGACGTGGAAATGCGAACAAATAAAATCGGGTTTTAAACTTTACTATTAAACTTAAGAAAAAATGTTATCATGAGTAACGACAACAGTTCAAATAAAAGACCTGTGGAATAGCATGCAGCATAGAAACACTCCTCTCAGAACTGATAGTTTCGTCATCCTTCAGATCCTTGCCACACTCCGTACACAACCCAAACGCTACAATAGGATGTAGACATCCCTCCTTACACTTCACTATAACCGTGTTCTTTGGCACACTGCCCACTTCCACACACACTTCCGTTACTGTCTGGAAAGACTTGGCTCGGTAGTCCTGCACTTTGTTCGGCTTGTCCGGGGTCTTGTACTTGAAGAGGAGGCCATGTTGTCTTACTTTACGCTGGGGCTTGGCGAGGATTCGCACTATTTCTATGTTTTCTTCTAGCTTGTGCTCTAGTATGTTCATGTTAGAGTCCTAATAAACTGAAGTAGCAAAAGTTATCATTAATAGCTGCTCACTGAGTTATTAAATACGTAATAAATTACAAAATTACGGTGTTAAGTAGTTAAATTACGGTATTAAATAGTTCCCACTGAGCCTTTGCTGAACTGCTTTGGTTTGAACTTTGATAAAAAATAGTATTGTCTACTTTGTCTACACAATAAAACTAAATCGTTTGACTGTAAATATTTTCTCTGACTACTAAAAATGTACGAATACGTAATATTAATGTTGATCTGCTGAAATATAAATCAACTTTAACACTTTAATAAGTGGAATGGAATTGCAAGGAAATAATATGAAATCTATGAAAATCTGAAAACTAAATCTGAAAATTAATTCAAAAGTAAAAAACTGGATATAAAACCACATCAACGTTAAAAAACTGTAAATCTCAAAAGTATTACAAACTTTGCGTACAAATCAAAATAAATTCTGAACTCAAATGCATTGCGTTAAAGTTGTTAAAAATTCATTAACGTAATAGAGTATTAGGTAATTAGGTATTCAATCTTACTACTTACTTCATAATAATATTCATTCAGTAATCATATTAAATAATATGAAATATAAAATATTACCATGCATGGTTTTGCTTCACAGTTCCAACATGCTTTTAAGGAATAATAACGATACTGTCTAATAACTTAATAAGTAATCCCATAGATAAATATGGTATATTTTATATGTTATGTTTAAATTGTTTATGATACAGGTGGCTCAGATCTACAGTTGATATATGACACGTGTCTAGGAAGCTCCCCCGCTTTACAAGATGCAACTGAGGAACTTGCTTTGCAAGAGGTGCAGATTAGAGCTTCCTGACATTTAGTGTGAACTCAGAGCCACCCGACAGAGTTATTAGTAATTCTTCATGGAGTTAGCGTATATCTCAGCTATAGGCTCAGCAGTAGCATCAATAGGAGATATACACAACACTCTCTTTTGGGGGAGAGCACCCGCTACAAGACCGGGAATGTCATCGTCAGAGTATCCTAGAGCTCCTAGACCATCAGGGACATCTAGATCATGCAGGTATTCTCGGAGCACATCCGGCAATGCTTTACCTGCAAATAAGGGTACTGCAGATCACGGAAGTGGTTCGATTAGGACAGCATAATGAACCAAGCTGCCGTGGGCAGCCAGCATTTGACATAAACTGCTAAATTCTTGGCATAGTTTGAAAAATACAAGATCGCTATTTCAAGCATATCTCCCAATTTATCAGGATCACCAAAAGAAACCCCCCACTAAATCTCAAAGAGTAAATGGTAATCAGCCTGCATGTGACTAGGATAAAAACATAAAAGGTAAACTAGTAACCAGACTAACCCGCATCCTCCTTCCTGACAGGCTTCCCACCGAGCAGTTCAGCAATCTCGGCATGTCTGTCTGGAGACGAGTCTGCCGTGGCTGCAAATACTGCCGGGGCTGTAATACACACTGACAGACCGTGTGGGATCAACTTCTCCTGGGGCAGTCAACTGTCAGCTTTGTTAAGGGGTTTTTAAAATATAGAGTTAAGCAGTAAAATGAACAATTTGATTTGTTGATACGAGTTTCTGTAGAAGGAGGCATGTACCAGTGGTGAACAAGTTGATATAATTAGATAAAGTTGATCAGATCATTACCGAAGGATAGTTATCAGCCCTATAGTTCCTGTTTAGTCCACTGATAGAGTAAGACAGCCCATGACAGAGATGCACTCCAGCATTCCCAAACCCTACCCCTGCCATAGCGCTAGCAAGGTGCATGTTTTGTCTAGCTTCGTAGTCCTCGGGATCCTTTACCGCTCTTTTAAAGTACTTAGCAGTGATGAAGCAGGCGTGTCGCGACCAAACGTCGCTTAGTGGGTTACTGCCCTAAAATATAATATGGGGTAAGGTTATGTAGGATTTATATGTAGGATTATGTAGGATTATTTAGGATTATGTAGGATTATGTAGGATTATGTAAAACAACATTTATGTAGAATTATGTTGGATTATGTCGATTAAAAACGACAACCAAGTATTTGTAAAAATATACAACGGTTGTCCGTTATTTAAATGCAGCATCTAAATTGAACAATTTTAAAGATGATATTAATTGTTTAAAGATACTGATGCAATGCACAATGCACATACATGATACAGTATACACATGTCACATCTGTACTGCTACAGTATTTACCTGGTAAGCAGGTCTAAATTTAGGATTGGTAGGAGCGGGTCCGGGCCGGTCAGTGTAGGGTAGAGCAGTGTAACTCTCTATAGCGTGACACAACACATCAAACCCACTGTACGCTGTAACGCGCTCCGGCATGGTTAGGATGTTCTCTGGGTCGACTATTCCCAGTGTCGGTCTTATTGCTCTGTTTGCTATTCCTGGGGTAGTTATTAGATGTTAATTAGTAACACACCTTATATGGGCATCACGTGTCTCTACATCTCCTTATATGGGCATCACGTGTCTCTACATCTCCTTATATGGGCATCACGTGGAATCATCAGTCCTGACCTTCTACAAAGAACGTTATGAAATAAAAAGTGAAAATAAGAAAATAAAACGACCACTAACCAGTCTTGGCTTTGAGAGGTTCGTAATCAAACACAGAAACCCCCGTAGTCTCGCTACCAGTACCCGCAGTAGTAGGTACTGCTATCAGCGGTGACAAAGTCCTGATAGGTTGATAATAAGTCTTGAGTCTGGAACACTAGCTTAGTAAGAGAATATTGATAGCAGCTGAAGGGGCTAGTTTGAAAATTCGGCTTAAAATACCTACAAATAGCACAGGAATAAGTTTGTGTAAATATCTCCAGTTATAATTACTTCAATAGTGTTTTCAAGATTTACTTGAGGTACATAATATGAAAGCTTGTGAATTGCTATATATCTGGTTTATATATTTATGATAGTTTATATGATATATATATAATACTAATTGTGTAATATTTCAGTATGTACCCCAAGGCCCAAACATGTTGTCTGTGGGGTTTGATAATTGCTTAGTACTAACTGGTGTTTCATTGCTTTGTGATACCTATAAAGTTAACAAGCTTACCTTGTGACAGGGAGGCCACGTCCAACAGGAGCATTAACAAAGTCTAGGAAGTCAGCCTCAGGGTAAGCATTGTAAAGGTTTGCTGCTTTGGCTGTGTCGATCACACTACCTCCTCCAACCGCTGCAGGGGGGGGGGGATTTAGATAATTGCAATTTATCATACACTGTAATTGTTATGTGAATGATATAGGTTTGATCATCCATCTGCCTAGAATACACGAAAGTGAAATGTAAAACTAATTAGAGATTTAAAATTAGGTATCAAGATAGATTAGATTATGCAAACTGACATAACCGATACCTACTGGAAAGTTCCAGCACAGTAATAATGGTTAAAATGTGATAATGGATGAAATGCACTTACCAAGAAACGCATCAGGGTTAAGTCTTCGAGCAAATTCGATGCATTCTTTGAAACTGGAATCAGTAGGTTCAACACGGACATTGTCAAACAATTCAAATTGCACTCCAGCTCTTTCAAGGGCTTCCACTGCTTTAATTACTGGCGGCAAAACAGCCTGAAATATTTTCAAGTTACAATATTCTAACAATTTCAGTATTCCATGTATTCAACTATTTCACAAAACGATTGACCCATTAACATTTCTCCCCAAGCTGAAGTTTTAAACTTATGTAAATTCACATTTTACAGTAATTATTAGTTCGATATAACTTCTAATAACTACAGATTATCTTAAATGGCTTGTCAGTCAAGAGCAGCAAGTTTCTTTGTCATTCATAAATAGGTCTGTCTACTAGAGGTAAAGTAGTCACTAGTCAGCCCTTCTTTGATACGACTTACGAGGTTTTTATCAGTGATCACAGCTACTTTCTTAGCTCCCATATTTTCAAAATCCATACCAACTTCTTCAGTAACTCCTGGTCCATATCGAATCGAACTGCAATTTTTAAATTTAAAGCTTTTGTTTTTTTTAATAATACTATAATGGTGGATACTTTAGCAAGAGCATTCAGTGATGAAATGCAAATCTATATCTTTAGAGTTAAAATTATTATATATAATGCAAACAGTATATCAAAATTATCATTAAATTGAACTAACAGCTCGAATTTGTGACTTGATATTTCAAAACATTTCAGTATTATTGCAGGTAATACACATATTATACACATATTATACACATATCTTGTATTACCTGCAAGCCATTTCTAAGGCGTACTCCTTCCTAACGTGACTGTTTGACAGTCCATATGTCTGACTGTGCATTGGGCAGCAGTCATTAGTTCGCCTTATAAGACGCAGCAAATGCTTTGCTTTTGACATCTTTCTGGAACTAATAATGAGTGATGTAAAAATAGATTTATGATTTTTTAAATAGAAAATAATGTAATCCATTTCGGTTTCTAAACTTTTAAACTGTAAGAAGAGTTTTACGATTTTTCAAATAAAACATATATTATAATTAATTTGGATTCTAAAACATCAGAACCATAACTATAAAAACGTTATTTTCGATGAAAAAAGAATAAGTAAACCTATGGAACTGAGATCCTTAAATATTTATAATTATTTCCGGGAATTATATCCCGGAAAAGTCGTGAAAACTGAGCACTGTTAATTGACCTAGAGTGTTGCAAAGTATTATCAACACAGACTACCAGTCGCCTTGATGAGAGTGCTGGAAGTTAATCAAAACAATAACAGTTGCGCACTATATAATACACACTATATTGTACGATGCGCACATATCACATTACACATTCTTTCATTCAAAGCCTGAAAATAATTATAGCAAATAATACCTTGGCTTAGTAGTGCTGTGCCGGGCTCGCCCGTAGCACTCAACAGCCAAGGTATTATTGTATTATAATCTACCTCAGCTCATCTTGCAAACTATTATGATCAAATATTTAGAAGAGAGAGCTTGGAAATGCTTTAAAGCAGGAAGGGAAAGCCTTTTGGAAAAAATAAAAATCGTTGGTAACTTCTGCAACCAAGCTCTTAACAAAAGTGAAAGTATTCAAGCAATATACACATAATATACACATAATATCACAATGACCCTATGTAAAATGAAACCTTCAAAAATTCAATATATTCCTCAACTAAAATATTGGTAGAAACATTTGAAATTCACCCTTGGCCTTGTGGTTCCAAGTTCAAATCTAGACTCTAGCTTTTAACAAATGCTTTGGATGAACGAATGAGGTTCTAAGAAATCATTCCTGTTCAAAAATTAGGTAACCTTAAGAAACAGAAACTACAGTTATATACAGCTATATTATATTAATTAATTAATTAAATTAAAATTGAAATTTAAAAACACCACTATTAAGCGTACACTTTTACTCAGCAGTGTCACTACAACTAGTTTACAAATACTTTTAAAACTATATATCAAAAGCAAAATAAAGTTCTATGTATAAATTCGTTCATAAAACTTCCAAAAAGCTAATATAATTTAGATAAGTCAAAGAGAGGGTTAAAATTATTAATAAAACATTTTTGCTACCTCAGTGTCAGATAAAGTAAACAAATAAGTCTTCAGTGCGGACTTAATAATAATAATAATAAATTAATGTTATTTTGATACAGCACCAAAAGGTTAAATAATTTAAATTTAACCCTTATGCTCAGCTGTAAATGATACCTAAATGACAGTAGAGATCGTGCATCCCGCCTTGGACTGGAATTAAAAACGGAAGTTTATAGCTGCAAGTTAAATCCTGACTAAATAAGGCAGAAACACCTTTAACAAGAAGATATCCAAGAAAGGTTAGCAGGTTTTCTAACAAAACATATGAAAAATAGATGATGACCACAAGAAATCTATGTATGAGACTCCAAATATATATAACTCCAAATATACAAACAATCTGAATACTTCAATATACAATACAAAATTATTAAAAAAGCTTACTGCAGAACAGTAACTGATGTTACAGAAAATCCAATACAGTCATGTCAAAATATCTGGGCAACATACAAGTCTAGAGACGGTGAAATAAACAGAGTGGTAGAAGATGCTAAAATACTTGAGACAAAATACAAAGAATAAGGCAGCTTTCTCCTGGGTGCCAACCCAAAAAATGTTGGTGTCCCGGGATAGAGCCTCCTTTTCTGACCTACACTACAATTTTGTTGGCAGACACAGTGAAACACGGAAAAGAATAATATCTCGAATGTTGCCCGAAAATCCTGAAAAATTAGTAGCCTAAAATAATTTAATTTAAAGCGTAAAATTGACCTGCTATAGGATGAAGATTTTAAAAATCTTCTGATAATGTATTATTTACTCAGTACATATCAAAAGACTTTCTAAACAGATGAGCTTTTAGTTTTCCCTTAAAGTCATTGATGTTTACACATTTCCTGATTTCTTGAGGAAGGTTGTTCCATAATCTTGGAGCAGATGAAGAGAAGGCTCTTGGTGGACTGTTTATAGGGCAATGAAGAGACACATCTCTGCCACCACTGGGATTGTACTTGACAAGGTTTGACAGGTATGAAGGTGCTAGTCCATGGAGCAGTTTGAAAGATAGCAGGAGTATTTTAAATTCAATACGTTCTTGTACCTTGAGCCAATGAAGTTCTTTTATGTAGGGCTCGACTTCTTCTCTCCTCTTTAGACCTTTAACTAAGCGACATGCTCTGTTTTGCAGAGATTGTAGCTGTTTCAAAACAGAATGATTAGTACCATAGTAAAGTGCATTGCAGTAGTCAAGGGAACTAATAACAAGAGATTGTACGATGATTTGCATTTGATCTTCAGAGAGGAATGGTTTCATCTTTGCAATATTCCGCATCTTGTGGCAGTTTGCAGCTTTAAGCTTCTTTATCTGAGGATTTAGAGTCAGAGAGGAATCCAATGTAAAGCCAAGGTTTTTGGTAACGTTAACAAGTCTTATACAGACAGAAGATTTTAGGAAGACACCACCAATTTCTAATTCTGACAATAAACGTTTTGAACCAAAAACTATAATTTCAGTTTTAGTTGGATTCAGAAGAAGGAAGTGATTCGTCATCCAGGTCTCGATTTCTCTAAAACAGGAGGGCAGGTCTTCGCTGAGGACTTGATATTCTGTAGCGGATGAAAATGACTTGTAGATCTGGTGATCATCAGCATAGCCATGGATCAGAAATTGCTTTGATTTTACAGAAGAGTAAATTGAGCGGATGTAGATATTGAACAACACAGGGCCAAGGACAGAGCCCTGTGGGACACCAAACTTTATTACAATTTCTTCAGATTCTAGGTCACCTATCTTGACTTTTTGACAACGACCACGGATGAAGCTGGTGAACCATTTCAAGGCTGTTCCCGCAATCCCAATCTCACACTTCAATATATTGATCAGTTTGATATGGTCAACTGTGTCGAATGCAGCACTCAGGTCTAAAAGCATTACAACTGTTGCTGTGTTTTCATTAGTGGCTATGAGGAGGTCATTGACTATGGTAATGAGGAGTGTTTCTGTGCTGTGATGCTTTTTGTAACCAGACTGGTGGTCGATGTTGAGATTATTCTTGGCTAGATGTTCATTGAGGCATTTTAATACAAAGCGCTCAATGAGTTTACCGATGAATGTAAGATTAGAGATGGGTCTATAATTCTTTAAGTTCTCAGTGTCTAGGGAATCTCCTTTGATTAGGGGAGTGAGATGTGCTAGTTTGATTCCCTCCATACTTCCAGTTGAAAGAGAAACGTTGATAATATCACAAAGGGTAGGGAGGATTAGCTCAAGGTGCTCTGACAAGAGTTCTTTAGGTAGTGGATCAATCGATGAGGTTTTGATGCCAGATTCTTTGATCAATTCTCTTACTTCAAAAATAGTAGCTTTTCTAAATTCAGATAATGCCTGGCCATTGAAGTTTGGAGAACTATTAGTCACAGTAGTGTTGGGAAATGATGTTCGGATTTTCTCAATTTTTTCAGTAAAATACTGGTTAAAGGCATTTACAGTTTCCTGAAGATTTTCTGAAGATGGTAAAGTGAGGTTCTTTTCTTTATCCAGGAAAGTGTCTACAAATTTGTAAAGGCTCTTTTGTGAGTGTTTGTATTTTTGGAAAGTATTAGAGAAAAACAGTTTTTTCTTTTTGAGAGTCAGCTCTGAACAGTGCTCTCGCAAATGAACAAAGATATCATGATCAATGTCAAGACTTGACTTTTTCCAGGCTTTCTCAGCCTTTCTTCTGTCGGCTCTTGCAACTTAAACGCCTCAACAGAATAACATTGTTTAACTGAGTCTGGTAGTGCATTAAAAACTCGTGGACCAACCACACTAAAACTACGATCACCAAAACCCTTGGTTGAACGATAAGGGACTATGAGCCTAACAGTGTGTCCATGGTGAGCATACTTAAACATATCTTGAAGGTACAGTGGCGCTATTCCATTAATAGCCTTAAAAGATAGGAGACATATTTTAAAAATCACTCTTTTAGGTATATTAAGCCAGTGCAATTTATCAAGATCGTCGCCTAGGTGATCAAATTTATATTTTCCAGTTACTGCTTTTGCACAGGCATTTTGAATAAGCTGTAGTTGATGTATGAGGTACTTGGAGATGCCGTAAAACATGGCGTTACAGTAGTCCAAACAAGAAACAACGAGGCTATTAACAATTGTCTTAAGCTGTTTTGAAGCTCTGACGTTTATTGTCTCCAAAATGCTCAACAGGAGGACACTCAATCGTACTAAAATAATTCTTGGTCCTCTGTTGAGACTCAACCAAAGACATTTTCCCTACAACAATCCACATGCTGGCTCAACCACAAATCCTAGAAGAAGTCAGAGCTAAAAACTTTTAAACTGTGATGTCGTCTACAGACATTCGAAAAACAAAGAACTACTGATGAAAGCCTTGCTGGCCTTAAGCCTACGGGATCCCTCAAAAAATCCACGATGGCGCAAGAGGATATACAGATTACAGAGGATGAACTAACCGAAATATTTTCAATCTTGGCAAATTCAATCCATACCTTTGCCCCAAATCTATAGTATCATCTTAATAATGATAAAAATCCGTTTGTGGGTGGGTAGGTGCGTTCGTGTGTAATATACAAATGACTTGAGTGTTGAGGTATTGCAAGTTCTAAAGTTAATTTTAACATACAAAATGATGCGAAGCAGTTGATTGTAATCTAAACGTTTAAAGATATTAAAAGCAAACGATAATATAACCGGTTGTCCATGAAGCGCTCGATTTTCACAGTACGGACAAAAACGAACTAAGTGCGGCGCGAAATTTAAGAGTATTAGACAAAAAATAATTTTTATAACATATAAACATCATATTATTATCAATAATAAGGTATTATTATCAATAACAAGGTAGTTTGACATTGTTAGATTTAAACATTGTTTTATGATAAAGGTCGAATCTACGTTTTATTCGAAATAATACAAATGATGGGAAATTTAAAAAATACAATGAGCAATGAATCCTTTTTGTACTTTTTAGATCTATTAACCTAAAACCGGCCGGTTTAAGGTTTGAGTTTGTGTTCTAAAAGTGGTATATCGGGTGCTAGTTGGCTCCTTTTGCCAACTGCTTTTGGTTTAAGCGCTGACTCATTGTCATACGTTATATGACCCGCCGCGCACGAAATGCGCGGCTCCCCCGGCCCTGTATCGTCCCCCTGTATCGTCACCATAGTGAAACGACCGTGGGGGTCGCAACGTGATACAACTGACTCACATTCCCACCGCGAGCTGATTACTCGTGAGGTCGAAATGAGCGCTGGGTGCGATATTTCTGAAATTTTGCCTGTTGGTTCGGTGGACGATTTTAGCCACAGCGCCTTAAAATTAGCAAGATCGCAGGTAATCACACAAAGTTACAGCTAATTTAGTGATGTAAACACTCGTCGCAATATACTGGAATCGAATCGAGCGCTTTGCTATGGTTACTGCGCGTTGACATGGTAACTAACTGCGTGAAATCATTCAATGCCCAAATATAGTAATGAGCAGACCGCTCGCGCGCGTAGCATGTAGCATTATTTGTATTACAATTCTATCATATCGTCATATTATTATTAGATGCACGAGTTAAACTGCATTTTACATTTAATTTCAGTATGACATGCTGATCGCCGCCCGGCAGTTGAAAATTTGTTTCATACACATATTATTGATTGTGTCATATCTGAGTTCTTGGCTGTATTTGGAAACCTCAGTCATAAACGTGCAGTTGTGGGTTTTTACCGGCCTAAATAAAAAGTCAAGTTTACAGGACATTTCTGGGGAACCTTATTTTATGTGTTACCTAACAAGATCAAAGATGCAAAGGTGAAGAAAAGGAAGCGTGCATTTGAGAGCGTATCATCTTGTACATTATATTACCCCGATCTGAAGTTTGATGACTAGAAAACAATGAATATGTTTATTAATATTATTATCGAACTTCATATTATAGGGGGGGGGGTGGGGGGCCAACGCCCCAAAAGGCCCCGATTTCTAGGGCCCTTTTTGGATTTTCGATGCGTCTAGGGCCTTTTGGGGCCCTAGAATTAACTTCAATTTCATCAAGTTTGATATATGCTAAGTGCTTTAATGATATCATCTGACTACTTGCACAGTACTTTTATGTTTATTTGAGTGTATTTACACGGAGATTGTGCAGGTGACCGGGAATCCCGGTACCGGGATTGGCAATTTTGAGCTATCCCGGTCAACCGGGTCAAGTCACATTTTTCATCCCGGTCGCGGTCCCGGTCAAATGTTGACATACATTGCATGCCAATATCTCTGATATTTGGGATACGTAACATGTATCAAGTCAAATGCTGATCCCGGTCCCGGTTTATTCAGGATTCTTGGTCCCGGTCAATCACTCAAATTTGCCGGGATTTTGACCGGGATCTTTTACATAATTTCATTCACTGTGATTTTAAGTTTTTACTTTCATTCATTGTGAATTTAATCTTTAAACAACCTCTGAGCCAAATAAAACAATGTTTAAAATTGCTAAACTGAAACAAGTTTAGGTAACTAATATCGTTACATAACTCATAAGTGCAAACTAACATCAAGTTTTCAACTCGGGCTACGCCCAATTGTCAATTGGAATTGGAGAATGAAACTGTTGAATAATTTGAGGGATCATTGATTGAGGAATGAGGGTGAACTTGAGTAATCAGTAAATGAACATTATTGGTGTAGTACAATAGGACCATGCCCCATATTGACGTTTTTTTTTTAGTTTTTTCTAATTTAATATTATAGTTATTACTTATTTAAATTGTTCAATTATAATGTAAATGAAAGTTGCAACTTTCAATATGAGAATACCAGTTTTGGTCCCGGTCATCCCGGTCAAATTGTATTGTTGGTCCCGGTCCCGGTAAGATAGAAATCCCGGAAATTATTGGTCCCGGTCCCGGTCACGGTAAATTGATAATCCCAGTCCCGGTCCCGGTCAAGTCACATTTTGTATCCCGGTCAGGCCTAAAATCATGTCCCGGTCACCTCCTGAGATTGTGGTCCATAAACACTATCAATTAGTGGTCAGGGTCAAAGGCCCCAAAAGGCCCCGATTTCTAGGGCCCTTTTCGGATTTTCGATGTGTCTAGGGCCTTTTAGGGCGTTGGCCCCCCCCCCCCCCCCCCCCCCCCCCCCTATTATATTTTTTATCTTAAGTAAGGATCTGATAACTCTACAACAGGGATCGGTTTAACTTTAAATGGAAACAATTTAAATACTGAAACATAAACTAGTGTTAACATATCTATAATACGTTAACTTAAAACTTAATTACATCAACTTGCAAGATTTAAAAAATTTTCCCTATAAATCTACGCAATATCAAATATGGCACAGTTCAGTCAAATGAAAAAATCTGTTTGTTGATGGCACTGAAGAATATTTTGAAAAAAGCTACAACGAAAGTTAATATACAGTTAAAGGAACACTATACCAATTTCAGAATGTAAATTTTCGTGTTTAAATATCATACTGTATAAGTAAGGGATAAAGCTTCGTATTATTAATCGAAAGTTGGTGTAATATCACACGTTTTAGATATTAAACAGAAGAAAGTTTATTGTCCTAGATCACGAGCTACTCATTTCTCACAATCAGTTTGGTCGGGGTTCTGTTCTTCGATTCTTGCTGCCTTTGTCTTTCGCACGTACGTAGAAGTACCCTGAGGATTAATCGCAATAATCGACCATGAATTATTAAAGTTTTATAGTTCTACAATTGGAACCTGCGACTTGTTTTGCAGTGAATCACAATCCAGATGAAATGTGTAATTTAAAAAAGTATAGGTACACACCTGTCGGTAGTTCCTCGTACATCACGCGTGACGTCCGGCTAGAAGGAATTTCTCTCAGGTTTCTCCCAGGTCTGCTGTCTAGGAAGAGAGAGTGAGAGATGAGAGATGTTTGACTTGATGAGAGCTTTATGACTCCACTTCAGTTAGCATATGGCAGAGGTGCCATAAGCTAACTCGTCGTAAATTGCGAGCTCTGGCAGGTATCCTCGGGTGATTGTCAGATCAGATGGTGGTCCAAGAGAGACTGCTGGGGCGCCTGACAGAAAACCAGCCCCGGAACGGTGTCAAGTTTGTGACTGAAGATTCTGATCAAGCTCAGGGTTGAGTCTACAGTGTCGCCACTTGCCGATGCCAGTTGAAACAGCGTGTGGTTCGGGTGCCGGTTAAACGCACGTAAAAGGGAGGGAATATCCGTATTTCGCCGCTAGGAGGTGTTCCGCAGATTGCGTGATGGCCGTGAAGATGCCTACTTCTAAACCTATCGATAGGTTCAATAGGTAGGTGCTAGTGATGCAGTCCTTGGCCCGGTAGCTAAGGCTTTCCCGTTTCTCGCTCATTTGTGCTCCTATGGGCTTCTGACCTCTGCGGGGGTCAAGTGCAGGATGAGGGACACTGCCGACCAGGAGAAGGTTATTTTTGGTGTTGGGCCTCCGCAGTTTAACTGTATCTTTACCCTTGGAAATCTCTCTGAAAGATTGTGGGTTTGACTGATAATAGATTTGAGTTCCTAGCTCAAAGCATCATCACATAATAGCGACAATAGTGAAAGAGGGCGACTAGCGTGCAACACACAGGGTAACAAGGTTTTGCGCCAAAATGCGCGCGCAAAAAGATATTTAAATTTGTCTAGAATGCCTAATGCGTTCAGTAGATGAATCCATAAATTTGGAACATGGGCACATCGTAGTATTGGCCGTATTTGAGTGCTGGGAAGGCTCAGTTCGGTTTTCTAAAATGGATATAGCCGTAAGCTAGGCCTAGGAGCCATCAAAAGTCGTATAAAATTACCCATGGAATGACCAGAAATGAACGAAAATGAACATTCTTCTCAAAGTGCTCAGAATGGTTTAAAATGGGTCGGAAAGTGTTTACATTGGTCCTAGGACCACTCAAACCAAGTTTGGGAATCGCTGCATGTCTAGAACCGATGTTACCTATATTGTTCCAAAATGTTCCAATTTTGGGACAATAATCCTCCTGAGAATCCAGATTTTTGGAACATGGGCACATCGAAGTATTGGCTGTATTTAAGTGCTGGGAAGCCTCAATTCGGTTTCTAAGATGGATATAGGTAAAGACTAGGCCTAAGAGCCATCAAAACTAAAATAACATTACCCAGGTTCATGGAATGAACGAAAATGAACAAAAATGAATATTGTCCTAAAAATGCTCAGAACGGTTTAAAATTGGTCGGAAAGTGTTTATATTGGTCCTAGGACCACCCAAAGCAAGTTTGGGAATCACTGCATGTCTAGAACCGATGTTACCAATGTTCCAAAATGTTCCAATTTTGGGACAATAATCCTCCTGAGAATCCAGATTTTTGGAACATGGGCACATCGAAGTATTGGCTGTATTTAAGTGCTGGGAAGCCTCAATTCGGTTTTCTAAGATGGATATAGGTAAAAACTAGGCCTAAGAGCCATCAAAACTCAAATAACATTACCCAGGTTCATGGAATGAACGAAAATGAACAAAAATGAATATTGTCCTAAAAATGCTCAGAACGGTTTAAAATTGGTCGGAAAGTGTTTATATTGGTCCTGGGACCACTCAAACCAAGTTTGGGAATCACTGCATGTCTAGAACCGATGTTATCTATGTTCCAAAATGTTCCAATTTTGGGACAATAATCCTCCTGAGAATCCAGATTTTTGGAACATGGGCACATCGAAGTATTGGCTGTATTTAAGTGTTGGGAAGCCTCAATTCGGTTTTCTAAGATGGATATAGGTAAAAACTAGGCCTAAGAGCCATCAAAACTCAAATAACATTACCCAGGTTCATGGAATGAACGAAAATGAACAAAAATGAATATTGTCCTAAAAATGCTCAGAACGGTTTAAAATTGGTCGGAAAGTGTTTATATTGGTCCTGGGACCACTCAAACCAAGTATGGGAATCACTGCATGTCTAGAACCGATGTTACTTATGTTCCAAAATGTTCCAATTTTGGGACAATAATCCTCCTGAGAATCCAGATTTTTGGAACATGGGCACATCGAAGTATTGGCTGTATTTAAGTGCTGGGAAGCCTCAATTCGGTTTTCTAAGATGGATATAGGTGAAAACTAGGTCTAAGAGCCATCAAAACTCAAATAACATTACCCAGGTTCAAGTAATGAACGAAAATGAACAAAAATGAATATTGTCCTAAAAATGCTCAGAACGGTTTAAAATTGGTCGGAAAGTGTTTATATTGGTCCTATGACCACTCAAACCAAGTTTGGGAATCACTGCATGTCTAGAACCGATGTGACCTATGTTCCAAAATGTTCCAATTTTGGGACAATAATCCTCCTGAGAATCCAGATTTTTGGAACATGGGCACATCGAAGTATTGGCTGTATTTAAGTGCTGGGAAGCCTCAATTCGGTTTTCTAAGATGGATATAGGTAAAGACTAGGCCTAAGAGCCATCAAAACTAAAATAACATTACCCAGGTTCATGGAATGAACGAAAATGAACAAAAATGAATATTGTCCTAAAAATGCTCAGAACGGTTTAAAATTGGTCGGAAAGTGTTTATATTGGTCCTATGACCACTCAAACCAAGTTTGGGAATCACTGCATGTCTAGAACCGATGTTATCTATGTTCCAAAATGTTCCAATTTTGGGACAATAATCCTCCTGAGAATCCAGATTTTTGGAACATGGGCACATCGAAGTATTGGCTGTATTTAAGTGCTGGGAAGCCTCAATTCGGTTTTCTAAGATGGATGTAGGTAAAGACTAGGCCTAAGAGCCATCAAAACTAAAATAACATTACCCAGGTTCATGGAATGAACGAAAATGAACAAAAATGAATATTGTCCTAAAAATGCTCAGAACGGTTTAAAATTGGTCGGAAAGTGTTTATATTGGCACATCGAAGTATTGGCTGTATTTAAGTGCTGGGAAGCATTTATATCAAAATATTGGAGGATCATTAAAACAAAAATATTTGCCCAATAAAATAATTTCTGTTTAATTGTACATAATTCTGAATGCAACTTTAAGACCCTGTTGGACGAAAATATTGACTCTTTGCCACCATTTTTTAACCATTCTGAGTGCTTTAGGGAAATTTTCATGTTCGTTGTTCATTCCATAAACTTGGGTAATATTATTCGACTTTTGATGGCTCCTCTATAAGGCCTAGTTTTTTATATCCATCTTAGAAAACCGAATTGAGGCTTCCCAGCACTTCGATGTCCCCATGTTCCAAAAATCTGGATGCTCAGGAGGATTATTGTGACAACATTGGTAACATCGGGTCTAGACATGAAGTGATTCCCAAACTTTCCGACCAATTTTAAACCGTTCTGAGAATTTTTAGGACAATATTCATTTTTTGTTCATTTTACTTCGATGTTCCCATGTTCCAAAAATCTGGATTCTCAGGAGGATTATTGTCCCAAAATTGGAACATTTTGGAACATAGGTCACATCGGTTCTAGACATGCAGTGATTCCCAAACTTGGTTTGAGTGGTCATAGGACCAATATAAACACTTTCCGACCAATTTTAAACCGTTCTGAGCATTTTTAGGACAATATTCATTTTTGTTCATTTTCGTTCATTCCATGAACCTGGGTAATGTTATTTTAGTTTTGATGGCTCTTAGGCCTAGTCTTTACCTATATCCATCTTAGAAAACCGAATTGAGGCTTCCCAGCACTTAAATACAGCCAATACTTCGATGTGCCCATGTTCCAAAATTCTGGATTCTCAGGAGGATTATTGTCCCAAAATTGGAACATTTTGGAACATTGGTAACATCGGTTCTAGACATGCAGTGATTCCCAAACTTGCTTTGGGTGGTCCTAGGACCAATATAAACACTTTCCGACCAATTTTAAACCGTTCTGAGCATTTTTAGGACAATATTCATTTTTGTTCATTTTCGTTCATTCCATGAACCTGGGTAATGTTATTTGAGTTTTGATGGCTCTTAGGCCTAGTCTTTACCTACATCCATCTTAGAAAACCGAATTGAGGCTTCCCAGCACTTAAATACAGCCAATACTTCGATGTGCCCATGTTCCAAAATTCTGGATTCTCAGGAGGATTATTGTCCCAAAATTGGAACATTTTGGAACATTGGTAACATCGGTTCTAGACATGCAGTGATTCCCAAACTTGCTTTGGGTGGTCCTAGGACCAATATAAACACTTTCCGACCAATTTTAAACCGTTCTGAGCATTTTTAGGACAATATTCATTTTTGTTCATTTTCGTTCATTCCATGAACCTGGGTAATGTTATTTTAGTTTTGATGGCTCTTAGGCCTAGTCTTTACCTACATCCATCTTAGAAAACCGAATTGAGGCTTCCCAGCACTTAAATACAGCCAATACTTCGATGTGCCCATGTTCCAAAAATCTGGATTCTCAGGAGGATTATTGTCCCAAAATTGGAACATTTTGGAACATTGGTAACATCGGTTCTAGACATGCAGTGATTCCCAAACTTGCTTTGGGTGGTCCTAGGACCAATATAAACACTTTCCGACCAATTTTAAACCGTTCTGAGCATTTTTAGGACAATATTCATTTTTGTTCATTTTCGTTCATTCCATGAACCTGGGTAATGTTATTTTAGTTTTGATGGCTCTTAGGCCTAGTCTTTACCTACATCCATCTTAGAAAACCGAATTGAGGCTTCCCAGCACTTAAATACAGCCAATACTTCGATGTGCCCATGTTCCAAAAATCTGGATTCTCAGGAGGATTATTGTCCCAAAATTGGAACATTTTGGAACATTGGTAACATCGGTTCTAGACATGCAGTGATTCCCAAACTTGCTTTGGGTGGTCCTAGGACCAATATAAACACTTTCCGACCAATTTTAAACCGTTCTGAGCATTTTTAGGACAATATTCATTTTTGTTCATTTTCGTTCATTCCATGAACCTGGGTAATGTTATTTTAGTTTTGATGGCTCTTAGGCCTAGTCTTTACCTATATCCATCATTTACAATTATTTTTGGCACTATTTAGAGCTTATTAGGGCAAATAAATGCATGGGACACTTTTGGGACAATTTTGGGACATGTTCCAAAAATGTTCCAAAAATGTTCCAAAAATCTGGATTCATCAACTCAATGCGTTTGTACTTTATTTGGCGCAACTTTTTCGCGGTGGACGTTCGAGATTCGAAATGACTTGTAAAGATTTTGTAAAAAATTGGAGACATTTTAGAATCCATGGGAATTTTTTTGGAGATTTTCAATGCCGATCGATTCCAATCGGTTTTAGCTCATTTCAGGGGATTCTAGGAAAATGTTCATTTCGTTCATTCCATAAGCCAGGGGAGTATTTTGCACTTCTAAGTGGCTGGAAATGTTAGTACACGTGTACTAAAAAGGGAGGGTATACCATACCAGATAGATCCCAAGTCAGTACAAGCATAAATACGGCTGCAAAAGCGTGTTTCCAAATTTGTCACAAATGTTTCCACGATGTCAACTACTCTGAAACCAAAATGGAAACATTACCCCAGAGTCCTTTCTGAACATGCTAGGCTCACAAACTTCTCAGGGACACTTCTGGTATCAATACCGATTGATTCCAATCGGTTTAGCTCAATTCAGGGGATTCTAGGAAAATGTTCATTTTGATATGAATCCGAGAATTCGGAACAGTATGAAACAACTTTTTATCGATGTTTAGGTCACAAAATCCTCTCCGAACCTCCGCGTGGTGTGGCCTAGTTGGCATTAACGGGTGGTGTGCTCTCTTGTTGAGTACTAAGGTTGGGACTTGCCAACTCAAAGTTCCCATAGGAACCAGGAAGTCAACACTAACAGCTACCAAGCACCAGGAAATGTCTCTTTCAGATATCAGGTTACAAGATAGTACACACACAAATGACGATACGTTAGACACAGATACCTAGCTCTAAGAGCTATTAAATCACCAGATAATTCTCTTTAGAACTATTCCTATTTGCTCATTTTGACTACAAGGACAATGAGTAGTCTTCTACTCACTTCTCTCTCCAGTGCAGTAACTACTTATCAGGTGTTTTCAGTTAAGACAGCTAATGCACAAGGGCTGACACACGCTTGACACAGGCTCGTGATAAGACAAATGAGGGATTTCAACTCTGACTACGTGGACACACTGATGGCGAGAATTCCTGGCAATTCTCCCTCAAGTAACCACTTTCCAGCTAGACAGCTAAGAGCTCATCATGAGGCTCACATTTAACCTAGGATTAGGGGCCGGGTTAGCTTTTCCACACTATTCATTAAGTGTGACTGGACGCTCTACAATCATCTAGTAGCAGCAGAGTTTGACTGACACCCTTACTGGTTCTATTCAGTTTCTACAGCGGAAGTTCTCAACGCTCGAAAACAGTTCATCTCGGACATCCTGCAGAGATCCTTTATTACACGGGGAACCCTCCGTGGACAGCATAGCTCACTAAAGCTTACCTGAACTCTTTAGTTCTGAGACGCAAAGCTAACCGGACCAGGAATAAACAACAATGCAATGCTTCGGGGATGCAAATAGGACATACAACTATTAACGAATGTGTTACTCAAACTTTGAATTCAATTTGTTCGCTCGACGTTACATGGTAACAATACAAGACAGACGATCCTCCTTCAGGTTCATTTAGGAAATCGTAACCGCTATTTGCGTTACACATGGCAAGTATCTGGACTAATGATAACTTAGGATCTCCATCAATCAACACCAGTTTTAACTCCAGGTTCGTTCTGAACATCTCAGAACAACTTTAATGTTCCAGGACATGAAGGAGTATACGGTAAAGAACTAGCGGACGAATTCGCAAGGGACGATCAATCCAACAACATCCCCATAGGACCAGAACCCTTCCTCCCAATTTCGCCATACTCAGTGACAAAGGAACATTCCACTTGAGATGTTCCTCCACAAATATAAATACAGGAACTTTAATTTTTCTGGAACTCACAACAGATGGCTAACATGGCCGCTATCAGGATAGTTAGACAGCCCAATAGTTTACTTTCAGAACGTGGCGAACAACATCAACTTTGAGACGCAAGATTGTGAACACTTTTAAGGAGAAGCAGAAACATCCCAGCACCTCCTCTGCAAGTGCAGCCAGATCATGACGCTCAGAATGAGGATAATTGGTAAACCCCTAACAACAGTAAACTGAACCAAATTTGTGGAACAGTCAAATTTGTGGAACAGTCGACACGACTGGATAGGGAAAACTCTTCTAGGTGACCTCCTTGGATTCTTCACCAGGAACTTTCGCTAAATCCCACACTAGGAAGTCAACCTACGCCCATATCCGCATAGAGACATTTCTCCCAGGCTTTGACCCTGCTCGGAGGTCCCTTGTCTGCCCGCAGAAGTACTACAACGGAAGTGGGGTTGCTCTGAGCCGGGTAGTGACAACTTCAAGACTCCAGGGGTCTTGAAGCCGTCACTGGCATGTGAACTGACATTTCCAGGCTAGTTTTAAAATATTTATCGAATTCATGGAATGAATGAAATGAACAAAAAAATGTACTTTGTCACAGAATGTCAGTCAATCCCAAACTGATTGGGATCGATTGCTATTGATACCAGGAGTGTCCACTGTCCCCGGGAAGTTTGGTGGGTCTAGCATGTTCAGAAAGGGCCCTGGGCAATATTTCCATTTTGGTTTCTGAGCAGTAGTTGGGATTTTGGAAACATTTGACACAAATTTAGAAACATGCTTTTTAGCGGTAATTATGCCTGGACTGGCATGGACTCAATATGGTATGGTAGCATGTTCAGTAACTCAGAATTTTTTTTCTTTGAAATGTAATACTCCACCGAATGGATAGGGTGCGTCAAGAATCATCCAGTTTCACATCGAAAGCACTATTTTCACACATCAAATTATGACATTCATAGTTCAACTTTTTTTAAAACTCAGTAGTGCCAAATGATCCCCTGGTTCATGAAATGAACAAAAATGAACTTTACCCTAAAATCGCCCAAACTGAGTTGAAAGCGATCAGAATCGATTGGTATCGATACCAGGAGTGTCCTTGAAAAGTTTGGTGGCCCTAGCATCCTCAGAAAAGGCTTTGAGGGCAATGTTCCATTTTGGTTTCAGAGTAGTTGGGATTCTGGAACAGAATTGAGACAAATTTGGAACAGGCTTTTTTGGGCAGTAATTATGCCATGGCTGACTTAAAATCGATCTAGAATGGTGGAGGGGTATGTTTTCTAAATTTTTGGGTGTTTTTAAATTGAAGATTTCAAAGCCAGATTTTCGGCTTTAGTTGACTGGGACATGCCCAAATTGTATGTGCTTTGATTGTGATCGGGTTTTCAAAAATAAACGATTTACCTTTCGCATATGATGGACTATTTCCCGAAGAAGGTGGGTATTTTGTCCTTGTAGTTTTCCAGAGAAGGACGTAGTCTTTTCCACATCTCTGTCATCAGAGAAGTCCTCTGGGTTAAACGGTCTCTGGTTGGCCTTAGCGTTAACTTTGCAGACGTGGGCGGTTGCAAAGTTTGGTGTGTCAGTAACCTGAGGGGATGTCATTAATACAAATTTAATATGCACATGTTGAATATATCTGAATGAACTACAACAAAACTTAAAACAGAGTTAACTTGAATAAATCAGATATTACAAAAAATAAAAGTTGGAACCTTTATCCCCTCGTTATCCCCTCGTAAGTGACAGTGATGGGTATTTGGTTGCCAAGCAGTTGTTTGGGTGAGCGTCACTTTTCCATCAGTGATAGGTTTCTCTAAAGTCACTACAGTTTCTGTCAACTCCTTCACTACCCCACACCTCATCAGCACTCGGATCGGTCCAGGGCGTCTTCGGGTGCGAACACGTGCACTCCTGAGATAATTGACTGTCTTATACACAATGGTTTTACCGTTTACAACATTCGCAGTAATAATTTATTACCGAATTTAAATAGAATTTAACCCATACATTTTAAACACATGAACTGCTGTATCAGTAACCATCAAAATAGAAACAAACCTATGAATTTGATGTTTATCTGGTTAAGTGGAAGGTTAACCTCTTTTTGACACAAAATGCCCAGTCGTCTCCTGAGATCTCCGACATGACAGAGGAAGCTACTGTCGAGTTCGATATTACAGCTAACCTAAGATAGTCAATCTGAGTGGGATCAATTAAGCATTACAAATCAGCAGTTATCAAGCAAATGTGATGAAAGAGCCATTATTTAAATGTAAAGCAGATCTAGAGCTAGGAATGTGTTTCGGGCATCAAAGAATAAGTATCTGTGTACTGTTCTTTACCGTACCATTTAAACGATTTAATGCATGGAAGTATCACAGTAATATACTTTTTCAAAAACATAAACACATTTAAAAAAGGCTCGAATGGGTTATCGTAATTTTCATATGATGCATGATTGAAATAATGATTGGAGTAAAACTTTCAAATTCGATCCTGATCTACAAACGTGTAACATGATAGCAAAATCCGCTGTGATTTTCTGTACTAGAACAAGTTTTAGTAGTCTCCAGCACATCACAGCTAAAAGGCAGTAACACTAAATCGATTACATTAAATAACCTCTCAAGATCGTTTAGTTATATTTGTATTTCAATGTGCAACGAAACAGCTACTATAATACTTTACTATCAACTAAATATACGGTGTGAGCATTGAAGCTCTGTGCTGAGAGCAACAAGCAACAACGAAAAGAGATGCGACTGCAATTATTGACTCATATGTGAAAATAGGGATTCCGCAATAAAATTTGATTAAATCTCAAATTTCCTAATTACGATTTCTAACTGCGCGGCGTAGTGCGTACTTTGAAATCCAAATAAAAATTATTTTTGATCAAAATATTGGAAAACAAAATTACAGCATGATGCAAATCTTGTGAAAAAAATGTAATAAACAATATGCTGTTAAAAACTTTCGTGAAATATTTTAAAAAGCATGATTTCCTCCACATTTTGTGAAGTTATCATTTTTTATGACTTTTACAGGTTATAATTTTTGTCAAGAGCTTAGCCATTTGTCAAAATTTTGGTCATGGTATCATGTGACTCTATACAATGAAATTATAATCCGTTGATGTATAATATTTTGGAGTTTATCAGGGGATAAAATTATTTGTAGGTTTATAAACTACCAAGACGCGCGCTGAGTTGGAATAATGTATAACTATCAATACATTGTACATGATACACGATAACGTAAAACTATATAAATCGATAACATATAAGATCAAATAAACCATATGGTACCAAGTTACATTAATTGATGAAATCTTTCCAAAAACAAACAATGTTTTAGAATGAAATAATCCATACACAAATATTCCTAGCTTTAAGTATGACACACATTATTACATGATAACGAATCGATTTAACGCACATATGCAAAATATATTGTATAATAATCGACCTTGTTTTTTAAAGATGAGTCATTTATAGTATCGATAAGAAAATCCCTGTACAAATAGCTTCTACTTCTAATCCGATTATTTATGTTGTATAATGCAATGAAAATACTGCGCGCGCAGCTTGAACTACGACATACGCAAGCGTTCAGTTGCAAATTATAAGGTCTACCGAAGTTTGTAGGGCGCGAAAAATTTTATGTTGACGTGCTCGCGCATTTTGAGTAATCAGCTCGCGGTGGGTTTGGAACTGGCACGGGTATAATTGAAATATCTTACGAAGTCAGCAAGCTATATTATCTCGCAAAACTCGTTTAATATCTTGACAATATTTAAAGTTTATGGTTTTAGGTTTAGGCGCAGCGCACCGCTTATATGTTATATAGCTTCTTCATTTTCTGTTTTCAGCGCTGTGTTGCTACACGCTGTATAGCAGGTGGGTGAAGCGCGGTGCCGCGCCTAAGCAGCAAAATTAGAGTTATTTATTTTAAAATTTATTTTTGTATCTCAAAAATGATGTAAAGTTTTTAATATGACGTAAAATTAAAGCTATTTCCGTACAGCCTAAGTATGCTCGTTAGAAAAACTATGAACATGCTAGTTTTCTTTATTTTTGTTAGTCGGCTGACATTTTGGGTTGTATACTGGATGTAACAAGTTTATTATCAGATGTCTACTTATATTTATTACGATATCATTATATTCATTGTAATGGCAATAAAATTTAAATTTTGTTTTACTTATTTTCAGAATTTTTTGGAGGACTTCGCCGCTTCGACGCGCCGCGCAAACTAACATTTTTGCTTCGCATCGAAGACAAAATCGTTGACAAAATTGCAAATCAACAATTTGGAAGGGTTGACATCGTCAATCAAAAAATTTTTAGAACATAGAAGACGTAAACGTTTTAGCCGCAAAATAATTAGCAAACAACAATATTTAAATGTATTGGATGGCTATTAGAATTAATATATAACTTTAATTTAAAAGTTTATGTGCGCCGCACATACTTTCAGCGGTGCGCCGCGCTTAAGCGTAGTTTGTATTTTAACCGAAGGATAATTTTTGATTTTTGATTTTTAATTGTTAAGGGAAGTTTTTGAATTCTTAAAGGGTTGATTTTATATAGGGTCAATGCTATATTATGTGTATATTGTTCGAAAAATTTTATGCTTAAAAAAATATTTTAACCGATTTATACTTTACTGTGAAAATCGAGCGCTATATAGACAACCGGTTGTGTTAGTTACTAAGTATTTGTAACTTCTAATTGACCTTCCTATGATTCCTATATGATACATTTGATGTGTTCTCTGGTGGTTTATTGATAATCGTAGTGTGGCATTTATCAACAAATCTTCCTATGATTACTATGTGATATAATTTAAGTGATATTTTTCTGAATAGATTTATTTATGAGATTATTTAGTTGTTTTTTGCTGGATATTTTCACTTCACCCTTTAGAACCACTTTGACATGGTTAGTCCCTGACACTTGTGTCAGTTGCTAACCATGTGGGCTGTATACAAGCACTTTATTTCATTTCATATTGTAATCAATTTAATATAGTAATTTAAAATGGAATCTTATCTTCTTCCTCATCATCCTTTATCCTCACTATTTTACGTCCTCATCCTCTACATCCTCGTCCTCATCGTCCACTTCATTCTCATATTTTTTTGTTGTTGGTAGTGTGCACCTAATTGAGGTACAGATCGTCAACAGGGATCGCTTTCTGATATAACGGTCCTCTCTCAGCTATGGGTACAGTTTTTAGCAACTTCAACGACGTCTGAGATTTGCCATAACAAGGCTTTTTGTCCTGGCCGATATTGACTGCCAGGTTCCTTTTTCAATCTGGGCGCAGCGGTCTCCATAATTTCTGTCCTTTTCTCTCTCATGTTTACGATACATTTTAGCTGGGGTCTTGTGGTAATCATTGGATTTTGTGTGTAAAACCCTGATATTGAATTTACTTAATTGCCTAATTATATAGTTACTTAGCTACATATTTACCAGGTGACATAGTTACCTAGTTACCTAGTAACCTAGTTACCCAGTGACCTAGTTACCTAGTTACCTAGTGACCTAGTATCCTAGTAACCTAGTTACCTAGTTACATAGTGTCCTAGTGACCTAGTTACCAAGTGACCTAGTGGCTAGTTACCAAGTGACCTAGTTACCAAGTGACCTAGTTACCTAGTTACCTAGTGACCTAGTGACCTAGTGACCTAGTAACCTAGTTACCTGGTAACCTAGTTACCTGGTAACCTAGTTACCTGGTAACCTAGTTACCTGGTAACCTAGTTACCTGGTAACCTAGTTACCTGGTAACCTAGTTACCTGGTAACATAGTTACCTGGTAACCTAGTTACCTAGTAATCTAGTTACATAGTAACCTAGTTACCTAGTAACCTAGTTACCTAGTTACCCAGTGACCTAGTTACCTAGTGACCTTGTTACCTAGTAACCTAGTTACCTAGTGACCTAGTAACCTAGTAACTGTGTTACCTAGTGACCTAGTCTCCTAGTGACCTTCTGACCTAGTTATCTAGTCTCCTAGTTTTCTAGTTATCTAACTGTAACCTAGTTACCTAATTACCTAGTGACCTAGTTACCTTGCCTTGTATTCTCACTGTAGCTAGTTATGTAAAGATTTTTACCATCATACCTAGTTTCCTAGTAACATATTTCCGTTACCTGTTTAATTTTCCTAATTACCTAGTTACCTAATTTCTAAGTTACATAGTCACTTAGTAACCTAATTACATATGTCCTTTACCTAGTTACCAAGTTTCCTAGCTGTTTCGTTTTGCAGGTTAAACTGAATGCTGTAATAAACACATTATATCAGATTATGCAAGGAAGTATGTCACTGTTATCAGACTTATCAATGGAAGCGTCAGTAGACCCGGTGATACTGACTGCATCATCAGCGTCATTAACCAGTCACACCAATGTAAGTACTATAGTAGTTATATAAATACATAGTATTATACTATAATATACTGTAGTTATTTTTGATCACTTAGCCTATCCTGGTTGACAAATATATTTTATTGAACTCTTGAGTCTCAATAATAAAATAATAGGGTGTTTATTCTGGTGGTGAGGCATATTTTATTAACCAAAAATATACCTGACCTCGGCCTTTCAAAAAGAATCCAAATCTATAACCTTACTGTATGAATGAACTATTAATGTATACATATTACATAGTCTGAGTTCTGATATTGAATTTTTCATGCTGATAATTAATATTGCTACCTTATCAGGACATTGATGATAGTTACTATGGAGATCTCACTCTTGACCCTCCAGCCACTGCTTCTCTAGAACAGGTATCAGCTTCTTCACTTCTCTACTATTGTCGTATTATTATTTGTTGTAATATAATGGACTCAGCTCCATAATAGATCTGGATAAGGGTTAAATGTTTTGACACGTGACAGTGATGTGTATACTTGTAGATGCTGGATAACTCTATAATCTATATCCCCAGGTGAGAACGGACCTGTACAAAGCTAATGCAGGGTGTCAGCTCCGGGGGCTCTGGGAGTATTCTAGCTGGATATCTGAGCAACTAGTCCACCTTCCCAAAACTAACAAGGCACAAATACCTGATAACACGTGGAACTCAGATTACGATCTTATCATGTTTGCTTTGCAACTCATGCACACCCAGGTAGGAAACTAGTTACTAAGTAACGTGGTTACCTGGCCTAGTAACCTAGTAACCTGGTAACATAGTTGCCTAGTAACCTAGTGCACCCCCAAGATTAAACTTTAGATATTTACGTATCATTTGATGTGATTTTATTTGTCATGGAACATGAACTTCAGAATGTAACCAATAACTAGAAATAATATAACTGTTCACAAATTGCAGGAGTATGCAATAATCTAACTGCTCGCAAATTGCAGGTGTATGCAATAATCTAACTGCTCACAAATTGCAGGAGTATGCAATAATCTAATTGCTCGCAAATTGCAGGAGTATGCAATAATCTAACTGCTCACAAATTGCAGGAGTATGCAATAATTTAACTGCTCGTAAATTGCAGGAGTATGCAATAATGTAACTGTTCACAAATTGCAGGAGTATGCAATAATCTAACTGCTCGCAAATTGCAGGAGTATGCAATAATTTAACTGTTCACAAATTGCAGGAGTATGCAATAATCTAACTGCTCGCAAATTGCAGGAGTATGCAATAATGTAACTGTTCACAAATTGCAGGAGTGTGCAATAATGGGGTGGTACCTACCACGTCCGTCTATGTCCGCTTGTCTCATAGAATCCAAAAAGGACAGGACACTGGACAGGACAGGACATAGGTGGACACAGGTGGAAATTGGCGGACAAAAGTGGACATTAGCGGACAAAAATGGACAACAAAATTAGTATAGCTATTTTTTAAAAATTTTGTTAAATTTTAGAATTTTGTTAAATTTTGTTAAATTTTGTTAAATTTTGATAAATTTTGTTAAATATTGTAAAATTTTGCTAAAATCTGCTAATGAGGCAGGGTGATACAAAAAGTTTTATGTGGTTCACCCTATAGATCCTGTTTTAAATGTATTTTGAGGTGCGAAGTGAGATGTCAAGATACAAGATCTAGAAATACATGTGCTACATCGGTATCACGTGATCTACAAACACATGGAGCGGTTCTGCGCTTGACAGGGCTGTTCAGCTGTTGGCAAGCAGCCACTGTCTGGACTCTGGAACAGTGATTATCACCGTCTGAGTCACTGTCTAGAGTCCAGTATGGAGCCACGTGACCTTGATATCCCGTATCAGTCGGTTGAGCCAGAGAGGCGTGACGAATGAACAATCACAATGCTGGTAGAAGAGGTATCAAGTTCAGGATCAAGTCAGGGGTGTAGGAAGCGGGCATTGCCTCCCCCCCCCCCCCCCACCATTAAATCTGGACAAGGGGCAAAAAAGGGCCAACTTTTTATTTAGGTTTCTAAAAATTTAGGGCAAAAAAACTCGGACCGAAGATTTTGTAAAGTGGTTTTCAGAAAAACTTTGCAAATTTTTCAAAGTTCCTCTGAAAACCACCTTTCTCCACATTTCATGCTACCCTGTTCATTATTAGCCGAAAATATTGTGTCAAAATCATGTGCGAAAAATCCTCATAATGTTTGTCCGTTAATGTCCACCAATGTCCGTCAATGTCCGCTAATGTCCCAAAAACATGTTCGCTTGTCTCATAGAATCCAAAAAAGACAGGACTTAGGCGGACATGTCCCCCCCCCCCCCCCCCCCCCATAATCTAACTGCTCACAAATTGCAGGAGTATGCAATAATTTAACTGCTCACAAATTGCAGGAGTATGCAAGAGCAGTAGCTACACTGAAAGACACTGAAACACAGAATGGTCGCTTCCTTTTTTACTACTGCAAATACCTGAGCGGCGAAAAGTCTAGGATTGACAAGGTATAGTACTGTAGTATATACAAGGTATATAAGGTGTATATAGTATATACTATATATATAATGTACAATGTAATGATGTTTCTTTTGGAGAAATCCAGTTTCAAGAGTGCTCTACCCGGGAGGGGAGCATTGTACAATGAAAACAACGATTCTACAAACTCAAAGTTTCATGCAAATGCAATCATTTCTGACACTGATGATTGCATTTGCATGAAACTTTGAGTTTGTAGAATCGTTGTTTTCATTGTAATGTACAATGTATATACACAGGTTAAGAAAACTGTTCAACGTTTCAATGTAATTACATTATTTCCGATTCATTTTCTCACATTATTTCTTTGGTCGCATGTATCCGGAATTATCTGGTATTTTTATCAGAAACATCACAAAAATGTGACTCCAGATATACAGCTTCCAGTACCTTGGTGGTGACTCGTGTCACTCACACTGACCTCACTGATCGGTTGCTGGTTAAAATTTCAGTCAAAACCGCGAAATTTCGGTCAAGAGGAGTAGGGACGGCAGAAAAGCTCCTCTTCAAAAATCTTCCAAAATCTCTCTTTATATTGTGATGATTTTCCGTTTATCAAAGCTTTCTTTGGGAATAGAACTTTGAGTACCTCAATGGTGTCTTGTGCTATCCTCACTGACCTTGTAAGATGGTCATTCAAGAAAAATTCGGTCAAAACAGTGAAATTTGGGTCGCGGAAAGCTGGTAGGACATTTTCAAAAAATTTTTTCCATTTAAGCTTTCTCGGATATACAGCTTCCAGTATGTTGATGGCGACTTTTCTTGTATCTCAAAAGGGCACGGGCAGTTGAAAGGGTTGAAACCAACCAGACACGGTGTATTTAGGAATGCTCATTCCGAATCACCCTACAAATTCTAAAACGGTTAGGTATTATAGATTGGGGCAAGCTTGCCACAAATTTGGACAGTTCTAGTAAAAACCTCTAATATTATTGGTTCATAGCAACTATTTTAATCATTATATTACCTTAATTCCCAAAAATTTGGGCGACAAAAAATTTGAGCGGGCCTCTCGCCCAAATTTTTTGCAGACCAAATTAATTGCATAAATCTTTTCCGTCTGCTAAATTTTTTGCTAACCAAAATTTTGGCATTTGGCCTGTGGCCCTGAAATCTATAGAAAGATGGCTTTTTCTTCATATCCAAGTGAAATAATATTTGAAATTTTAGTTTTCTAATCTGTCATTCATGGCTTGACCAAGTAAAAAGGCTTATATTTTAAATGAATAGAAATAACTGGAATAGCTAACAGCTACTAATAAAACAAATGGCTAGAGGTACGGATAGCTAGAGATTTAAACAAGATCTGCAAATGGATTATCATCCACCGTAAAGTCTGATCTACAAGCATCAGTTATACCTGACTTCTCAAAGCCTTTCCTTATGTCATCTGGCCTCCCTTTTAAATATACAAAAAGTTCGTTGATCCAACGAGCGTGTACTTCACAGATCACTGTCAAGCGGGTATCAATTTTCACATTGTCTGATGAAACTCCTCCATTGAGCTGACACACTATGTTTTTCGCGTACCAATCTTCGTACTTATTGCGCATGAATTTCTTAGCCAGTCCATTGATAGATATGTCCAGGGGCTGTAGATGATGGGTCATATTAGCTGGAACTTTCTGTAGGATGCAGTTGTTGGCTGTCATCAGATCTTTTAGTGTCTGTGTATGTTGGTCTTGAAACACATCCGATATCAGTAGCGCTTTCTGCTCAGGGTTGTTGATGGAGGCTCGAACTGATTCTATGTGGGGAAGAAGGATTTTCTCAAAGAACTGGACACTGGTCAAACCTTTCGACCATCTGGTGAGGCGTCATAATGATAATTGTATGTGAAAGGGGTATGATAAGATATGCTGAGTGTAAGTAGACTAAACTATCTGATTGAGAGACTAAATATCACTATTGTATATCTATCATTTTGTACTGTGCCATCATCACTGTATTTTTTAGTAGTTACTGGGCAGATCGTAAATTTCATAATGTGAAACAACTCAGACTACCACCTACTTAAAATTGAAAGCAAAATGACTGGAATAATAAGGAATAATAATGAACTAAGGCAAATATCTAACTTACATTTTAGTGGAAAATCGTTCATTCTTCGAAGAATTTGTGCCCAAATTTTCGGTCGCCCAAATGAGTTCAAATTTTCTGCCCAAATTTTTCGGGCTCAAATAAATTGTGCTCAATATAATGGCACACAAATTTTTGGGAACTAAGGTATACCAAATACGTATATATACTGATCCACTCTTAAACGGTCAGATACAGGACACAGGTGGGGCAAGTGGGCCACAAATGGGGGGCAAGTTATTTAAGTAATTACAAGATTCACATTCGACTCAAAAACCGAGAAAACATCCCCTGGACCCCCTGGGAGGCATCATGTAGCCGGTGGGCCCGACATGATACGACATATCTTGACACGTCGGGGTTTGTCGGGATTTGTCAGGGTTCGTCGGGTTTGTCGGGGTTTGTCGGGGTTTGTCAGGGTTTGACGGGGTTTGATGGGGTTTCCGGTTTGTCGAGCCTGGAGGCTTTTTTTTTTTTTTTTTTTTTTTTGAGTCTCCCAACAAAAAGCCGAGACGGAGTCATCAAGCTTTACGTGGAAAAACACTATACAAGAAGGCCTCATGTAGCCGGTGGGCCCGAGGCAAAACCCCTCGACAAACCCCGTTTGTCGGGATATGTCGGGGTTTGTCGGGGTTTGTCGGGGTTTGTCGGGGTTTGTCGAGCCTGGAGGCTACATGATGCCTCCTGGGTAAAGGGTCTACTAAACATGGGAGAGCACGTTTCCTTGATTTGTGTAGTGGATTTGTAGTGAATTTCACAGGTGTAGTGGATTTGTGTTCCGGGATAGGTGGAACATGTTTCGGTGGTTAAATAGGTAGTACGTGACCCAAACGATCATAAAAACCGAGTTTCGACCTCTTGACCCACTCAGGCCACTCCCAGGGGCCACGCCCATCCCAAAATTACTGAAATCCAGGTAAAATCAAGACCGAAAATCTTTACCCCCGTAGTGCATTTATGTTCCGGGGTAGGTGGAACATGTTTTGGTAGTCAAATAGTTAGTACCTGTCCCAAACCATCAGAAAAACCGAGTTTCGACCTCTTGACCCACTCAGGCCAGTCCCAGGGGCCACGCCCATCCCAAAATTACTCAGATCCAGGTAAAATCAATACCGAAAATCTTTACCCCCGTCTAAGTTTTATTTCATCAATTTATTTAAGGATTCAAAATAATAAAAGTACATATCACTTAAAATTTCTTAACATAGTGCACGTCACAATTATACATCTACGAACTTCAAAATGTGTCATATATTTCTTGGTTGAAACATTTACAACTTAAACATTTGCGTAATTTTGTTGGTGAATGAATAAATAATAGAGACCAATCAGTATTTTAATCAAGCTGTCTTTTCAATATGGTTCGTGTTCGTTAATTATAGTATCTTTGTTTCACACAATAGAGCATAAGTTTTGTGGTTTATCCACTGGGCTTAGAGTTTGTGTTTAAGCTACCAAATTTTATTATTATTTTTATTATTGCAATTTTCCAAGATAATGTAGGAATTTAATAATTCCAACATAAGCTGAATATGGATCAGGTATTTGGGCAACATTATGCATCTGTAAATATTTTACCACTATATAGCTGTGAGCACATAAGATACAATTATATGTTCCTCAAATTAAACATTATGTTTTATTTGGCTGCTTTAATATTGTTGAAAGGAAACGGCAATAATCATGGAAAATTGAAGTAGTCATAACATTGGTTGAAATAATCATTATTTTTAAATATACGAAGGTAATTATCCCATGCTTGAGTACTTAGTTGTTAAATAGCGGAGTAAATTTGCATACCATTTGACATAAATCATTCTGCGGAAAAGCATAAAAGTATAAAAGAAATTCCAAATAAATATTTCAAAATCGATACGTTATTTGATGTTAACACCTTCCCAAGGCCGCCACAAAAGCGTGTCGCCATTTCAAATGCTGGACTCGTTAACATTCCACTGGTATCTCGATAAGGGACAAACGTATCGTATATTTAAAATTTAATTCTGTGCTGATTTAAAACGAATAATATTTCGGGTAGCATTGCTCACAATTTTGCGGAATAACAGCGGACATTGATTTACACAAATATCCTCGTAATCAGAAGGTTTCATAGATGTTCTGGTGAACAGATCTCTAGTTATACCACCTTCACTTTTACCTGCAACAAGAAGGTACTCCAAGTCGGTGTTCTTAACTCCCAGATGTTTGACAGTCAGCTCCTCCAGGAACTCAGCACCCGGAACAGGTGTCACAGAGCAGATATAGGTGATGGTAGAGATCATATCTCCCGGATTAACCTTGTTGATGTTCTCCTGGCAGGCGTAGTTTTCGTACAAGACTTCCCCTAAATCCAGTTCAGAGTTGCTGACCATGGCAGCTATAACAGCCGGTCCTGGCACCAGGATCTCCGTGGTGGAATACCGTGTGACATTGTGGTGATGAGGGTTCGTCACCTTGAACAGGTTGCAGATCGAGCTCGTTTCAGTTCTTCCAAATGTTTTAACATCCGTGTGGAGCACAACTTCACCTGGATTAAGGACTGGAGATGTTGAACTTAAAGGTAGATTCCCTGGACTTGAAAAATGACCAAGGATCATTTCTCGCCATGACGTTGCCGGTTTTACGTTCTCGTCGCCTAGTGTAGATATTCCGGTTTCATTAACAATAGCTAGCGGAGGGAACATAGACTTCTTATCCACACTAAAAATCCTAACATTATCCTGATTAACCAGCTCGTGAGTGGAGTCCACAATAGTGAACCTCGCCTCACCTTCGTGTCCTGTAATCTGCCTGGCACCCTGAACCGTAACCACAGACCTCACAGTATCTCCCACCAGCAGGGGCCTGTGTTGTTCCACGTTGTAACATCCCAGGTGTACTCGTGCTGATT